CCTCTTCCTCCTCCTCCTCCAGGAGAGAGGGTGGTCCGCCCCACCGAGTCGGGCCTGCTCAAGCTTGGGAGCCTATAGTTAGAGCTCAGCTCCTTTTCTTGCCTTCCCCGCCCCCCCCACGGAGCACATTTTCCTCGCCCCCCCAACCCCCGCATGTAGAATAGAAGCCCTCCAGCCTCCACGGTGCACAAACTCTCCCCTCTGCAACGAAGCGCTTTGTTGCATATCTTTGGTGAGGTTTTTAGGCAGTCTTGGTGCACCTTAAATCAGCGCTAATTGCGCCTGGACGCAGTATTTACTTCTCTTGTATCGACTGCCTCAATGGGTTCACACCTAGGAGCAGCTGAGAGACATAGGACCGATAGACGTGCCTTTTCCTAATTTGGAAGTGTACTTTCCATTTCTGCCTAGTATGCACTGGTAGCCCTTAGGACGCAGAGGGCAGGGGATGGAGGTGAAATCCAGCCCAGCTTGAATTGAGTCTGGAAGCCAGGTTCTTGGCTGGGTAGAGTAATCTCTGGATAAGTCCAGTCTGTCTCAATCTGGTATAGTTCAGAAAAGGGTTTCAAGGCACAGAATCGCACAGAATCACAGAATTGTGGAGTTGGAAAGGACCCTGAGGGGCATCTAATCCAGCCTCGGTCCAGTATACCTGAAGGAGCGTCTCTACCCCCATTATTCTGCCCAGACACTGAGGTCCAGAGCTGAGGGCCTTCTGGCAGTTCCCTCGCTGCAAGAAGCCAAGATACAGGGAACCAGGCAGAGGGCCTTCTCGGTAGTGGCACCTGCCCTGTGGAACGCCCTCCCACCAGATGTCAAAGAGAACAACAACTATCAGACTTTTAGAAGACAGCTGAAGGCAGCCCTGTTTAGGGAAGCTTTTAATGTTTAATAGGTTATTGTATTTTAATATTCTGTTGGAAGCCGTCCAGAGTGGGCGGGGTATATAAAAAAAATCCCTCTGCAGTGCAAGTATACCCACTGCAGTCGGCCCGTTAGGAGAAATGGGGCACTGCCCCACCAACCTTACTTTGCTCTCAGCCTGCCCCCTTCATCTGCTTTCCTTTCTACTTAAAACAGGTTCAGGGTGTGGCACGGCACAGCATCTGTTTCCCCCTTGGATTCCGTTTGCCCTTGCAGAAGAGGGAGGAGGATGGGGACAAAACTAGAATTAGCTTGCTTTGCCTGTTATTATCTCTGGCGCCATCTACTCGTGGGCTCCCTGCCATCTGCCCTACCATACTCAATGGGCACCAGCTATCCCTGTGAAGAACTTGGTGCAGTCTAGACATATGCCCACACCTGACCTCTTCAAGAGGATTTGGAAACCTTTTCTGCCTTCTGCAACCTGCTCCAGAGTTTCATCAGAGCAGAATAAACCCGTTCTAGGATCTGCTCCTCACTTTCAAGAGCAAAGCAGCCAGAGTCTGGACATACCCCAAATGCGTCATTGTGGCACACATTCATCCAGCCCATGGCCTGCAAATTGCCCAGCCCTCTGCACGACTGCTGTTGCTTCGGAGCACATCAGCAGTTAATACTACCCGCGTGGGCTTGTTTGTCAAATGAAATATTTTGGAATATTTACAATTAAGCTGAAAGCTTGATCTGTGGCTCAGAGCTGCCAAGTGAGCTCCTCCATCGACGCTAATCCGTAGTAATCCCGGCGTAATAGCTGGCTGTTGCCTTGGCCTGATTCTCTTGACAGCTGATCTGACATGAGACATAGGCGAGCAGGTCTGGTGGAGCTGAAGGATGTCTTTCCGTCGCAAACCTGCCACGCTTTGCACGGCTTTGTTTCTCTGCAGCAGTGGGTGTGCCTTGCCTATAGTGCTCCTCGCTGGCTGTTCACCTGGTTGCTGCTAAGTATCGGGGCTGCAGCATAACCATGCTGTGTGTGAAAATAAGCAACCATTTTCAAAATGGGTTCTGAGGGGACATGGTAGGGGATCGCCATGTCCTCCTGTCGTAGGCAAGCCAGCCTCTTCACTTGTGCTAATGTGTTATAGCGCTGCTTTCTATGTGCAATCAAATCATAGAATTACAGAACTCTAGAGTTGGAAGGGACCCAAGGCTTATCTAGTCTAATAATAATAATAATAATAATTTATTTTTACCCCAGCCACTCTGGGCGGCTTCCAACAAAGATTAAAAATACATTAAAATGTCACACATTAAAAACTTCCCTGAACAGGGCTGCCTTCAGATGTCTTCTAAATGTCAGGTAGTTGTTTATCTGTTTGACATCTGGTGGGAGGTGGGAGGGTGTTCCACAGGGTAGGCGCCACTACCGAGAAGGCCCTCTGCCTGGTTCCATGTAGCTTTGCTTCTCACAATGAGGGAACCACCAGAAGGCCCTCGGTGCTGGACCTCAGTGTCCGGGCCGAACAATGGCGGTGGAGAAGCTCCTTCAGGTATACTGGACCGAGGCCGTTTAGGGCTTTAAAGGTCAACACCAACACTTTGAATTGTGCTTGGAAACGTAGTCCAACCCCCTGCAATGCAGAAATCTCAACTAAGGCATCCATGACAGATGGCCATCCAACCTCTGCTTAAAAACGCCAAAGAAGGAGAAACTCCACTACTGAATTGCTCTTTCTGTCAAAAAGTTCTTCCTGAGGTTTAGTCGGAATCTCCTTTCTCATGACTTGAAGTCATGGGTTCAGGTCCTAGCCTCGGGGGCAGGAGAAAACAAGGGTAGGGCCACCAATGTTACATCTTGCAGAGATTTTCCTTGGCATCCATGGGCTGCTGTCCACTGAAATTTGATTTAAGAGAAGCATTCTGTTGTAGTCGATAGAATATGTTGCTGTATGTGTGTCCCCCCTGGCAGTTTCTCTGGTTTGCAAACAAGCCCAAATGCTCAAAAAAACGGGTGACAGGTTCAAAATGATGGGTGACAGCCCTTTTTCATTGTTCCACAGCTGTGCCTTGAGACAATCCAACCTTTACCTGCTGAATTGGAGCTTAGTTAAACATCATCTCTCTTTGAATTTTCAGATTTTCGCAAGGCATGGCTGCAGAACAACAAAGAAAGCTCTCAAACCCTATGGAATTAATTGGTACACAATACAATCAAAATATGGGTCAAGCAAAATTGTGGATGAGCCCTTGGTTTGGGATTTGATACTAAAACTGCTTTGTAGGTCTTTGATGTTGAATCTGAGCAGCAATTTTGTGCCCTCTGGTGCTCATTGGTTGTAAGTGCACAAGCTGTACAGTTAAACATGCACATTTTGGACCAGTCCTAGTATGTTTCCATGGAAAGTAGGTCCCTTTTGCCCCTCAATATATCTTTTTGTGTGTGTACAATCATGATGATTTTTTGCTCATGATAATACTAGGGTGGTCACGCTCTCAACACTGTTTGCACCTCCAGAAATTTGGGGCTGTCCCACTGCTTCCTATCATATAACGTCCTCTCAAATCATTGAACATCTTGTGCCACAATAATAGTGTGGCAGTATTGGGAAAGCATAGCAGAACAAACTAAAGCAGAATGAATCCACTCAGGAGTGCCAGCTTGGGCCCTCGACCGTGGGTGCCTGGGGCCACAGGTGCCATGCAGTGTGCATGGCCCTGGCACCAAAATTTGTGGGTGCCCAGGCCCCAGCCCTTTCATGGGGAATTTTCTGTGTACATGGGCACCCATGTACACAGAAAGTTGGCACCCATGAATCTACCACCAATGCACTAATATTGTGTCAATAGCATTTATTTGCAGAATACACCCATAATAAAAGTCTGGAAGAAGTTGGATTTACTTCCAAGTAAAAATGCACAGAATTTTTCTTCTATTATGGGTTTATCCACCAGTGTCCTTCACCTCAATTAGATTTCCCAGCTTTTCGCTGCTGAGACATAGACCTAGCTCCAATTCATAGGTGGGTTAGAAGTGCACAACAGTGACCGTTTTCATCTGTGAGAAATATTCACCTCATTATTGGCTAAAAGATGGAGAATGAAAACAAATTAATGTTGGAGTAGGGCGTCTTGAATTTTTCAGGTTCCAAAAATGCTTTAAAAAATTGTAACATATGACTTGGGAATTCAATAGGTATTTTGGTTAAATTAATATAATTTAGTTTTGATTGGCAAGTAATATTTGTGTAAAATTGCACAGAAATTAAAATTCTGTGCCACTTCAGACTGCTGGTTGGGGTTAACACCTCCATTAAAAGACAGCAACAAAAATCCCTGCACACAGAAGCTAGATTTCAGGGACTGGGGTTTTAGTCTAGCCTTCTCCCTGACATACTAAATTTCTGTGTACAGGGAATTGTTTTTGTGGATAAGGAGTCAGTTGTGTCCCTCCCTCCCTTACCTGTAGTCTAAAGAAATGTAGTCCAGACACAGCTTGACTACTTTATTTATTCATTAAATTTGTTGTTTCGTTTATTAAATTGGTATACTGCCCTTCATCCAAACACAACATAGAAATACAAAATGAAAACACAAAATACATAATAAAATGATCACAAAATGATACAAAATACAAAATAAAATGATAGCAAAACAAACCAATAACTCCTGCAGGCACATTTAAAAGGCCATAGGTTGTTGAATTAGCCAAAGGCCTGGAAGAACAGGAATATTTTTTGACTGGCACCTGAAGTTATGTAATGAAGGTGGCAGGTGAGCCTCCCTAGGGAGAGCATTCCGCAAGCAAGGAGCCACCACAGAAAAGGCCCTACCCTCTGGACCTCTTGAGGATGAGGCACACAAAGAAGGGCCTTCAAATAATGATCTCAGGGTCTGGGTTGGTGTATATGGGGAGAGGTAGTCTTTGACGTATTGCCGTCCTGAGCCATTTTAAGGCCTTATAGGTCAAAACCAGCACTTTGAACTGGGCCTGGAAACTAACGGGCGGCCAGTGCAGTTGGGCCAGTGTCGGTGTAATATACTCAAAAACCACCTTGCCCCAGTGAGTAACCTGGCTGCTTGTGAGACCTGTGGCGATTTCTTGTGATTAGACTGGTTGCCAAGGCAACGTGGGACTAGGCCGCAGGAGAGATGCTTTTCAGCAGCCATTAACATGCCCAGAACCGTAGTCTGAAAGCTGCATTCGGGACCCGTAGGAAGCTCTAAGTCAAAGCTTCCTCGACTGAAATTGCGCGCGCGCATGCATGCCTTGCCATTTTGCAGGCATCTGTGTGGCCTACTGTTTTGGGAGCTGAAATGCCCTTCTCAGTTTTGCCTCTTTCGCCACACACTCATGTGCACCTGTCTCCCTGCCTCAGTGCTCAGGAAGAAGGGCCTGAGGGGGCCCAAGCCATTAACTGAACTTGGCCCCCGCATAGGCCAGAAAAAAGAACTGGTGGTGCGCCATTTTTAGCCTTTTGCGCGCCCCACCCCAGCCTGAATGCACAAAGCACATGGCAGAGAGCGAAGGAGAGAGAGAGGCGCCTTCGAGGCTCCAGTCGAGTAGGCGGCAGGGCCAAAGCCTTGCATGTGAGCTCGCCCCACAACGAAGGTTGAGATTGCACGATGGTCTACCCCCCCCCCGGCGCAGGTGGCTTTCCCCTGGTGACTGCGCATTCGCTGCTGTCCCAGGGGATCTGTAGGGACTTCGTGCATTGCAAAGCAAAACTTGTGTTGAAGAGTGCCATAAACCCCTCAAAGCGGGTTAAGATGGAGGAAAATGCACAGCCCTGCTTTATAATGTGCAAAAGTTAAAATACTGAAACAGGTTAAAATGTCCTCCGCTTTCTAAATGTCTGGGTAGGAATGTTTTTAACAGGCGCCATGAAGAGTATGAGCTTGATCTCAATAAGTGGGGAGTTCCAAAGTGCAGCTGCTGCGCCACTAAACGACTTTGTTGTTTAGTCGTTTAGTTGTGTCTGACTCTTCGTGACCCCATGGACCAGAGCACGCCAGGCACTCCTGTCTTCCACTGCCTCCCGCAGTTTAGTCAAACTCATGCTGGTAGCTTCGAGAACACTGTCCAACCATCTCGTCCTCTGTCGTCCCCTTCTCCTTGTGCCCTCCATCTTTCCCAACATCAGGGTCTTTTCCAGGGAGTCTTCTCTTCTCATGAGGTGGCCAAAGTCTTGGAGCCTCAGCATCAGGATCTGTCCTTCCAGTGAGCACTCAGGGCTGATTTCCTTAAGAATGGAGAGGTTTGATCTTCTTGCAATCCATGGGACTCTCAAAAGTCTCCTCCAGCACCATAATTTAAAAGCATCAATTCTTCGGCAATCAGCTTTCTTTATGGTCCAGCTTTATGGTTCCATACATCACTACTGGGAAAACAACTTAAGTTCTAACAAATGCGGGACGATTGTTACGTATGTGTGCCAATCCCCCCCCCCCATCGAAGTAATTTTGAGTGGGCATGTGTGAGATAAGGCAATCTCGTCATAGCTGTCAACGTTTTCCTTTTTTTAAGGGAAATTCCCTTATTCCGAATAGGATTCCCCGCAAGAAAAGGGAAAAGTTGACAGCTAATTATCTTGTAGGTAAGTCATCTCCCTCCCCCCTTTTTTAAATGCCTGTGGCAGCCATTTTGTGCTGCTACCCACCGCACTCTTATCAATATATGAGTACCGACACTTCATATTTTTTTTGCCCGCGAAACACACAAAAAGCAAAATAACTACTGGCTGTAAGAAACAAAATTCCAGAATGTCGCAATAGATTGCAGTGTGGGAGGTGTCCCCCCCCCCCCGGCTTCATCCCAAAGCGCTGCTGCTGCTGCTGTGACATTTTAAAGGATTTGTAGGAAGGAGGAGGAAATCAGACAGGCCTAGTTGAGGCTGAGCAGCGACAATGGAGGGATGTGGGGGACCTGTGATCTGCCCCACGTTGTTCCCATCATCAAAGACCATTGGGCATGCTGGCTGTGGGATGTCAGAGTCCAGCAACTTCTGGATGGCCCACAGTTCCCCCAGCTCTGCTGGCAGCTGCAGCATGGGATGAAGCCACAGAAATGCTCCTGGGCTGTGTCTAGAACTGAAACGGTGCCATCAGATTTTCATTCGGGAAAAATGTGACTGTTTGGGGAAGACCCCACTGTTCGTTTGCAAGATGAAATAGGCAATATATATATATATAATGCTTGCAAATGTTTGGGTCCTTCTAGCGTGGTTTGCAGAAGGAAGCCAAGTTTTGCTAAGCATGGTTTGTCTGCCAGAAAAACTGAGGAAGGCAAGTTTCATGGTCATTTGTTTACGCTGAATGTTGAACAACCACAGATGTGGGGGAAACCCGTTGAAAAAAGCCCATGAGCAGAAGGGGCAGAGGAAGTGAATCTAACAGTGAAGGCAATTTTTCGTTTTGGTACTAATGAACTCTGTGCCTTTATGCAGTCTGGCCGTGTCTACTGGCAAAGTGCTCTTCTTGGGACCATCTTCAATGTGATAACATTTATTTAAGTTGCCCCTTATAGGGCAGAAATTTTTGAGAATTATTGAACACAGAACAAAAGGGTATGACGTTGCATTTCTGCCTTCTGGGAGGTACTTATGGGCATTACCACATTTAATCTCCCAGAGTTCTGGAAATATTTTGCATTCAAGATCTTGTAATATTTACTCCTAGGGGTGTGTGTGTGTGTGTGTGTGTGTGTGTGTGTGTGAAGCAGAGGCTTGCACAAAATCAAGTCTTCATGCATCAGGGCCTTGGGTTGCAACAACCTTATATGTGTGCCAGGGAAGTAGCTGTGTCTTTCTTACCTCTACACAAAGGTGAATTTCAACTGGTTGAAACAGTCAGTGAGCTGGTTTGCAAAAGCTCACAAGTGTTTTGCTTCTTTTGGTTACTGCTCAAGGTTAGTGAAAAGAGAGCTTCGCCACAAATCCCAGTTTAGATGGCATTCTAAGCCAAACTTTGATTTAGCTCAGCACATCACATCAGTTAAAGTAACTGGGGAGGAACAAACTGGCTGTGAGCATCTCTATGGGTGTCAGCATGTTCATGCATTCTCGCTAAGCCAAGATTTAGTGTGTCTTGTCAACCAGGCCAATATGTAGCAGTCAGTAAGCACTGGGTTTTGTATTTGTTTTTTTTTTTTTTTGTCCAGTTAGGCACTTGGGTTTTGCAACTTTGTTAACTTGGCCTCAGTCTTATCTGAACATCTTAATATCTAACTCAGTGCTTTTTTCTGGGGTACCCCAGGGGTACACATACCCCTAAACATTTTGTGAATCTTTGTACTTTTGTCCATTTACTGTATTTATTTTTCCCGATTTGAACTATAAAACGGTAGTTTTCTTGAGTCCCAAATTTTTTTTAGAGTACATTTTTTTAGAGTAAACATTTTTTTAAAGAAAAAAAGCACTATCTAACTCCCTCTTTATTCGTGCTTCTGGGAAGAAAATGAACAACAGTAGTATCTGGTGTGAAACGATGCTATGAATATTAGTTTAGACGGGATATAGCTGAGGAATGTTAAGAAGTTGATGAGTATTGGGGGGGGGGGTTTGAATGTGCTGAAAATGGTCACAATGGAAAGAATAGAAAGTGGCGCATATCCCAAAGCAGCAAGCTTGGAAGAGGTGGCTAAATTGCTGCAGGCTTCAGGCATGGCACTTAGCGCTTGCTGCATGATGCTGAAGTAAAATCCATCCTAGGCAGAGATTTCTTTGCAAGGAAGCTAGAAGCGTAGATAAATTGACTTTTGTCCCTGCTGACATGTCTCCTGGTACTCGAGTGACAGATTCCATTAACTTTATTAATGAATTCATTGGCTTCGAGGATTGGGGTAGAGGGAACTGGAGGAAAGCGGTTTTCTAGGATGACTTGCGTCTAGCTTATTCGACATCAAGCGTGAAAATCGCACTGAGAACTCAAAACTCTGTGCTCATCATAAAGCATGCCAATCAACAAAAAACGTGCATATAGAAAATGCAGCAATAAACAGCCTCGGTTAGCGTGTTCTCTCATTATTATTTTTGCAGAATATTGACATTTCTGGCAGGGAACTGTGTGGGAACAGAAAGAAATAATAGATGATGACTAAGGGGAAGGGAATGTTAACTAGAGACTGAAAATGTGATTAGATGCAGATCAGGCCAAAAAAACCAAACCTTTCTCCTTATTATGCAAATTTGCAATCAATTGCAATTTGTGTGAAATGTGCATTGAGTACCGTACATGAGTTTCATTAGTGCATCTTCCAAGGAACCATAACCTGAGGTCACAAGGCCCGCCTCTCAGGATTTCATGAGCCTCGTATACAATTTGGCTAGGAAGAAGGGGTGTGTGTGGGTGCGCCCCCCAGCAATTCAGTTCACTCTTTACTCTGCTTATGTGCTTCTCATGTGACATCTCACCAGACATTCTGGGAGGTTTTGGGAAGACTGGAAAGAGTTGTTCCTGTTTTAAGGATGTGTTATGTACTGAAGTTCTCACCCTGGGCCAGCAGGGGAATACTGTAGATAGTTATGCAAATAAGGGATCGAAAGTGACATTCAGTGATTGGATAGTTTTAGAAAATTGTTACAGTTACGTTGTACTGGAGCTCTATATAAGCAGGCTGGCTGAACCCTTCAGTTCAGTTCAGTTCTGTTCTGGCCTGTGAATAAACAAGAGCTGTTTGAAGAATCGCTGTGTCGTCTGATATGCACCCACAACTTAACAGGATGGGTGGCAGAAAAGCAATTGTCCATCTTCCTCTTTACCTAGGTAGAATAACAATTAGCCTTTTGAACACTGTGAAGTTATGGTGGCACCCGAAGGTGTGACAATAGGTGTGTCCAGGCATAAAACAGACTAAGCTCCATGTAGCTCCTGGGAGGAAAGGCAGGTTTAAAATGGGATTAATTGTAATTTGCAAGTTGGGTGAAGAATGTCACCATCTTGAGTATATAGAGAGCATTGTATATCTTCTCATTGAGGTAAGAAAAGGCCACAAGTTCTCATGTTTGCCATGTTTCACTTATGTTCTCTTTGTTCCTGTCAGGCATGGATGGGAAGAAATGCAGCGTATGGATGTTCTTACCTCTTGTGTTGACGCTGTTTACCTCAGCAGGACTGTGGATTGTGTAAGTGACCTTTGTGGACCTTTTATGGTTTCTGGGTGGAATACAGTGGTACCTCGCAAGACGAATGCCTCGCAAGACAAAAAACTCGCTAGACGAAAGGGTTTTTTGTTTTTTGAGCTGCTTCGCAAGACGATTTTCCCTATGGGCTTGCTTCGCAAGACGGAAACGTCTTGCAAGTTTGTTTCCTTTTTCTTAAAACCGTTAATACAGTTGCGACTTGACTTCGAGGAGCAACTCATAGAACGCGGTGTGGTAGCCTTTTTTGATGTTTTTAAAGACTTTGGTGATTTTTGAAGCTTTTCCAAAACTTTCCCGACACCGTGCTTCGCAAGACGAAAAAAATCGCAAGACGACAAAACTCGCGGAACGAATTAATTTCGTCTTGCGAGGCACCACTGTAATTTTCTTTGGAGCAACATTATTCAAGGGGTCTCAGCATGCTTCAGGATGAACAGTTCTTCGCTGGAAGAACATTGTTCTGCCATTCTGCTGAACAACTTGCCTTCTTCCAGGAACCAGCCCTGACACCCCACCCCTCATTTAGGTAAAGGTAAAGGGACCCCTGACCATTAGGTCCAGTCGTGGATGACTCTGGGGTTGTGGCGCTCATCTCACTTTATTGGCCGAGGGAGCCGGAGTACAGCTTCCGGGTCATGTGGCCAGCATGACTAAGCCGCTTCTGGCGAACCAGAGCAGCGCAAGGAAATGCCGTTTACCTTCCCGGCAGAGCGGTACCTATTTATCTACTTGCACTTTGACGTGCTTTCGAACTGCTAGATTGGCAGGAGCAGGGACTGAGCAACGGGAGCTCACCCCGTTGTGGGGATTCGAACCGCCAACCTTCTGATCAGCAAGCCCTAGGCTCTGTGGTTTAACAGCGCCACCCGCATCCCTTTTACCCCTCATTTAGAATTGTCTAAATGTCTTCCTTCCTATTTTGGCAGGTATTTTATAGCAGTAGAAGACAACAACATTATTCCGCTAAATGTGCTGGACAGGTAATATATATATATTTTAAATCTTACTTTCTAATGACACAGTCCATTATGCTTCACAGGATCAAATCATCAGGGTGAGTTTCAGCACATGAACTCAAAGCAGTGTTGGGAGCCCTATTCTGCTGACCCCTACAGAGAAGCAGAATTAGTTTCCCTGGAATTTCATCATATAATCCTTTTAGCTGACTTTACACAGCGATGCTCTCGGCTAATAGCCTAGGGCAGTGATGGCCAAACTTGGCCCTCCAGCTGTTTTGGGACTACAACTCCCATCATCCCTAGCTAACAGGACCAGTGTTCAGGGATGATGGGAACTGTAGTCCCAAAACAGCTGGAGGGCCAAGTCTGGCCATCACTGGCCTAGGGTGTTATCCGCCAAACAGCAATGCAAATAGAAGCAATAGAAGAAATGAGTGGAAACAGTGCAGAGTTCCTTATGAATTGAAAGTTACTCTGCTTGATTTTGCAGTCTGCTAAAACCACCTTCCTTTTCTTGCAATCTACTACTAGCACGTTTTCTTTTTTAAAAGCAAGAGTAGGTCAGGCTTGAATGAGCCACCTTTTGCTTTTTTAAAAACCAGAGCTCAGAAGTCCACCAGCTGCAGCCAGTTGCAAAACAGTGGTGCAGACAATGGAGCCAGTCTTGGTTACCTACTGCACCCAATGAACCCTGCATTGGCCTGAATTAGTGCCTCCCATTAAAATGACAGCTAAAACAGAACAGCAGAAGTACCTGCCCAGGTGGGGGAAGCAGGAGACAAACTTGCCTCATCGCCTTCCTAGGTAGCATGCAGGCGAGGGCCAGCAAGGAAACCCCCATTCCATCCATGACCATGACAGCCTTTCTCACCCTTCCCTGCTGGCTGTCCCTTGTGCTGCCGCCGTCTGCCTGCCTCTACAGCTTCAGTCACAGTTGGGACAACTGTCCAATGCAGCCTGTTGTCACGGCCGGCCCAAAACATTTTGGCACCTGAGGCGGACCCCAAAATGGCACCCTTCTCACGTCAGGGAAGAAGAGGTGAGGGAAGATCTACATCAAGAACAAGGGGGGAAAGAAAGATTGGCATTAGGTTCTGCTGCCCCTGTGAATTCTGCCACCAGAGGCAGTTGTCTCACCTTGCCTCTTGGTTGGGCCGGCCCTGAATAAAGATCTACATTGGGATCTGCTGAGGCAGTAGCCTCACCTTGCCTCATGGATTGGTCAGCCCTGCCTGGCGTTGCCCAGTAGCAACCAAGGCATCAAATGGAGGACCAATAGCATTGCTGCTACTGGCTGCCTCAAGCTCTGCAGATTGGACTGACCCACCACCACTGGTGCCCTTTTAAATTTGGCAAATGGTTTGGTGTTGCACACACATATACACACCCATTAGGTAGAGGGAGTCACTGCGGGCAGGTCTAATTCAGGGATCAGGAATCAGCAGCCCTCCAAATGTGGTTTAACAGGAGTCAGCAAACTTTTTCAGCAGGGGGCTGGTCCACTGTCCCTCAGACCTTATGCATTTTGAATAAATGGACACATTCTACTCATGTAAAAACACGCTGATTCCCGGACCATCTGTGGGCTGGATTTAGAAGGCAATTGGGTCGGATCCGGCCCCTGGGCCTTAGTTTGCCTACCCATGGGCTATAACTTCCATCATCCCTGGCCATTGGCAAGGCCGGCTGGTGATGGTGGGATTGGAGTCCAACCATTGGAGAGCCACACAGGTTCTCCATTCCTGTTCTAAACTAAATCGCATTCAGTAACCAGCCCTGCAATTCTGACTTGTGTATGATTCATTTCTTTTTTTCCATCCCTTAGGAAGGAAGGTCCCCAAAAGCCTCCTTATATAAGGTAATGAAGTCACTTTCTGTCCTTTATCTGTCTCTCCATGTCTTTCCCCCCAAATAAGGCCCATTTTTAAACCAGTGGACCATTTTACTGATTTATGCATCTCTGTTGCAGGCTTAGTTGAATTACAATGATGCGCATTATATTTTTGAAGTATTGCAGGTGACGCTCCTCCTGCAAGCTGTGTGTTTAGCCAAGTCATGAACATGGCAGCATTTCTAGGTAGGCGTTGCATGGAGAATGTCTGGCTTCTTCTTTAATTTTTTTGTCTCTTCTAATTTGTGTTAGCGAATCACCAGGTTCAGCTCCGTAAATGTTGTCAAGGCGAGGCCCAGTAATCGGCAGCTGTTATGGCTTAGTTCTCACTGAGGGGGGTGTTTGGGCTGGACAACTTGAGACTGAAGGTCATGCGGAGGACTCCTCCTTCATAAAAAGAATTGAAATCTTTCAACACAGAAGATCAGAATGTCAGGTAGAAGGCTAGACTAAGTCCCTTCTCCCTGACATGCTGGATTTCTGCATGCAGGGTGTTTTTTTTAATGGAGGAGCAACCAATCGTCGGAAACCCTAGCTAATCTCAGGTTATTTAGCTCAGATGCAGGTTTTAGGCTTGGCATCAGCATCTAACATCTTTGGGCATGGCCCACCAACTCTGACACCTACCTGGGTGTGGGGTTTACCTAGCAGAAGAGCTGGCTGCCATTTTAAATTTCCCACAATGCCCCACAATGCCCTGGAGCGACACAACACTGTCTTGTTAATTAAAATCTCAGGCACTTTGCAGCACTGCTATCTGCCCCTCAAAGCTGCTCTAACATATTTACTGCCTCTGAGAACTAGACCTGTAAAACAGGGGTGCTAACCCATGGCCCGCAGGCAAGATCCTGACCCGCAAGACGTTTTGCGGCTCTTGAGAAACGCCCCCCCCCGTAAGTTTGTCATTTTAAATTTGTAGTGCTATGATGCCAAATGATTTTTTTTTGTAGCATTAAAGCTCCTCCAAAAATTTCCATTTATTTTTAAAACATTTTTTACAGACTGCCCCAATAGGTTCTTAGATGTGATACTGCAAGGCCCAAAGATTTTTTGTGGCCTCCCAAGGCCACTCAAAATTTGTTCCTTAAAAAAAAGTCTGTTTTTTAAAAAACGACAATTCTTGCAGGTTTCCTTCTGCAATTCTATGATGCCAAATATTTTTGTGACCCACCCATAAGACCCACCAAAATTTGTAACAACAACAACATAACAACAACAACATTTGTTTCCCCATACTTCTTCTACATTTTGGCCATTGCTCACTTTGACATGTATCTCTCAGAGGCCCGCAGCCCAAAAAAGTTATCCACCCCTACTATAAAATAACATATGCAAAGGTTGTGTAAAATATCCAGATAGTGAAACATTATAGTCGCCGTATATTTTTGCTTGTTTGTTTTTAATCATCTCATTTTCCAGGCAATATTTGTTTTTATTTGCATGACACTTGCTATCAGTTTCTACTGCTTTAAATCCTGCATGTGTGTGAGCACAGCAATAATGTGATTATGCATATAATAATGATGATAATGTTTGTTATATAATGTTCGCAACCCTTCTTTTAATTGATGGTCAGTATTTCTTTGCTAGGGTTAGGAACTGAGCCGTAGTAGCCCTATAGCAGGCTTATAAATCTGCGCTCACCTGGTTACCTGGGATCTGTAAGAATGGCCTCTGGGTCATTGGCTATGCTAGTTAAGGCTGATGGGAGCTGTGGTCCAAAATATCTAGAAGGCTGCCCATTGGCTACCTCCAGTCTACATATATACAAGGAAGACTCTTCTGACAAAAGTTTATGGTATGCTGTTTCAAATATAGGGTGACCAGATCCAAAGGAGTGCAGGGCACCTATGTGTAGAAGAAGGGAGTTTGGCAGGTATGTAAACTGGAGCTACCAAAATTCCTTTTCCTACACCACTGTTAAAAGTACCAAAGGCCTGGCTGCCTTTGCTTCTGGGTCATCCTTTGTAGGCAAGATTCAACCACAGTGGAGATGGTTAACGGGAGAGAGGCTTCGAGGGTCCTATCAGGTCTTAATTGTTCCGGGTGGCCTTGCTTTTGACTGACCAAGAAATAACTTAGGAGGGAGGCTCTTGCAAGTCCGCTGCCCCAGAATTAAAAGAGGGTGGATACTTTTGCACTTCTCAAGCTCCATAGCCAGGCTGTGGTGGGTGCATTTGTAAACCCGTCTTGCAGACCTGTTTGGACCTAGAATTATATTGACGTTTGGAGTCATAATTGTGCATGAGTGTCACGTTCTCGTTCCTCATTTCAGCGCTTGTCGTGGCTGTCCTTCGCTTTATTCAGCTAAAACCAAAAGTTTTGAATCCCTGGCTCAATGTGAGCGGCCTGGTGGCGTTGTGCTTGGCCTCCTTCGGAATGACTTTGCTGGGCAATTTCCAGGTATTGTGTGTGTTCGTTCTCTCTCTCTCTCTCTCTCTCTCTCTCTCTCATCTTCCCCAATAACTGACTCTCTCCCTAGGCCACGCCTCTCACCAGACCTCTTTGCACCTTCAGTGAGCGTTTTTTGGCTGGAATATGTCTGTGGTCTCTTGATAATACCTCTTACTTGCCTGGATGAAGGATAGAGAAAGGTGTGAGCATACAAACTAGCCTGTGGTACAAAGGCATCCTTTACATCCATTGCTCTGCTGCTTTTATCTCTGTCTCCTCCCGCCACTGAAATTTGGCCTCCAGAAGGGCACCCAGAAGGGAATGTGGCCCTCGATTGAAAAATCTTCCCTACCTCTTGTCGTCCTGAATGGGAGTGACTCCCCAGGTCCCATGTTGAGGTCTTTCCCATCACCTGCCATTTTCAACTAGACAAGCCAGGGGTCGAACCTGGTATATTCTGCATGCAAAAGATGCGCCCTGCCCCAGAGATCTGTGCCTGGCATATACGGGCATCTTTTTAATGTTTCTAGACCACCCTTCTGTTGTCACATTCCAAGTGGAATCGAAACACATGCAATTGCATGTTGCTGTTGATATGTACAAGCAAAAAAAAAAATCAGAGGCCAACCAGAGAATATTGAGAAGCAAAGCAGCTTGTAAGCTTGATCTTTATTGATCTGTTGCCACAGGGTGCTCCCCTCACCCACAGGAAAGGAGGAGGAACCCAGAACAATGGCACGCAAGGCCTTATATGGACTTTTGAAATTGCCACCCTGTAGATCAAGACCACCCCCAGAAACATCATACATACATCACAGAAGGGGTGTAATCTAAGACCACCCCTCAGATACATCATACCTACATCACAGAAAAGGCGGTCTAAAACAGAAATTTGAATGTTGTTTTTCTCCTGTCGTTGTTTATCTCCTGTCTGGCAGGTTACTTGATTGGATTGCCTGGGGAGCCTGGCCAGTCTTTTGTAGTGATAAATACTTAGTTCCTGGGCCAGGTCGCAGGCTCACACCCTATTCAAACACAGTCCTACCCTTAAGACAGGATTTGTGAAGGAAAAGACAATGGGGAGGCTTTTCCATTTGACCTTGCAGAGAAAACACCTGGTCAGCCTGGGAGTCAAAATGGCTCCATGGCTGCTTTCCTGTGCAGCTTCAGACATGTGGCCTATATATCTATGTACGTGTTTGCTTGGTACGTTTATGAACCTTTATTATATACATAAGACCTTAATTTATTTATTTCAACGTACTACATCCCCATAATCCCTGGCTGTGCTGGCTGGCGCTGATGGCAGTTAAGATTCTAACAACATCTTGGAAACCTGCCAGTTCCCCATCTATGCAGAATACTTCGGCCGGATTCAGTTATTTGTTTCGGCCACGAGCCATTAGGAAGTTTACAAATGTGGTGATTCAAATAGTTTACAAATTAAAACATATGTCAGGTCTGCAACAGAACCCAAAATGTGAAACTTTGTTAAGTTCACTTGGGCCACGCTGGACGGCTGCCAACAGAATATACAAGAACACAACAGAACACCGCATGTTAAAAGCTTCCAGATACAGGACTGCCTTTAGATTTAATCTGTCCCCCATCAGATAATCTTCCCTTTCACACTATGCGATCACAAGGCTCATTGCTGTTTTTTCTTGTGACACCACAAACGATGGTCTGTTTGTTTGTTAATGATTAAACAGTGAAACAGCCATGTTTTGTCAGTGTGTCTGAATTAAGGCATTGTCTCATTAGTTTCTAGTTCAATAGCCTGTTAATAATAATCTACAGTAAATGTCTAGAACAGAGCTATTCTGTTATGGTAGGGAAAGGAGTATCTGTGCTGGAAGAACCTCTAAACCCCAAACCCTACTGACCTCATACTGAGCAGGATGGAGGGTGGGGAGGAGAAAGTTGCAGAGGAAATTAGTATGCCAGCTATAAGGCTGGAATATTTTCCCCTCCTTTTTCTCTCTCTGTCTGTGTGTCAGCGGAACAAGCATTCTGGGTTCAGTGGCTCCGAAAACCTCCCCACTTCTGCCCCATCACACCCCTCGAACACCCCTTATTGCCATTGTGGCTGTTGGAGCACCGACAACAGAGCAGCAAGGGTGGCAGAAGTTTAAATGTCACATTAAAGACAGGTCAAGGACAATATATTGTATTTTAAAATGGGGTTTCAGAGTTTTTAGGGGTTTTGAATGTCTTATGTAGATTTTTCAGTTTCATTGTTCTGTATGGGACAATGACAATAAAGATACCATATTGTATCGTATCGACTCCTTCACTGCCTGCAGACCTCCTTCTCTGTGGGAGAGATCTCCTGTATCCTATGGCTTCTGGGGTGTGTTCCCGGGGATTATAGCACTGTGCCCTAAACGGCGGTAATGTCCCTTCTTCTGTGGCTCCCTTCTCTTCTACCATACTCTTAAATGACTCCTCTTCCCCACCTGGCAAAATCTCTTTAAACACACACACACACACACACACACTTTTCAAATTTATACATTTCACTGATTTTACAATCATTTTTACATTACAAAACTTGACTTCCTTCCCCCACTTTCCTTAAATTTATTTATAACATATTCTGCATATCCAAATTAACTTAATTTGTTCATTTACTCATCTTCTGTAAATATATACTCTTACAATTAACTTAATTTGTTCATTTACTCATCTTCTGTAAATATATACTCTTACGAAACTGCAGGTTATTACAATAATCCTGCCAGTGTTTTTATCTGTTTACAATTTATCCATGAGTATTCCATAAACCATTTCCGTTCTTTTGTAAAAAGTTTGTTATCTTGATTTCTTATTCTTCCAGTAAGTTTCACCATTTCTGCATATTCCATTAAGTTTTTGTATCTATTCTTCCTTTGCTGGGACTTCTTCTTCTTTCCATTTTTGGGCAAGTAGCATTCTTGCCGCTATAGTCGCATACATGAATAAGTTTCTATACATTTTAGGTAGTTCTGTCCCTATAATTCCCAAGATTTTGCCCCTGACAAAATCTCAGTGCACCTTTGCCCATCGTGTGCTGCTCTTCTGCAGCACCCTAAAGAGGAGTGCATTGCATGTGCTTTCAGCATGCAGGGCAGAGTGGATCCCTCCCTTCTTTAAAAGGATCTCCTGCCTAGATCCATCTGGCCGCCAGATGGCAGTTTCTGTAAGTTCAGTATTTCCAGACAGCTGTTTCTCTTTCAAGATGTCTCCATCCTCCTTTTGAGTTTCATGCTTCTCAACTCCCTCCCTGTCTTGTATAGAAACGTAGAATTGTAGATCCGAAAGGTGCATGGTCACCTAACCTTCAGCCCTTCTCATAGAGGTAGGCCCTTCACCCTGATATCCCAGCACCCCTGAAATGATGGCATGCTGCAAGTAGGAGAATCCTCTCTTATTGTGTTCCTAGCAAGATCATCAGCCACCAATCACACTGCATTACAAGCTGCCTTTGAAATGTCGTCAAATTTTTGCATGCTCTGCAGCTTGATGAGAGAAGGGCAAGACCTATCAAGCCCATACAGCTAGTGGCTCAGTTCTCATGGATTCTGTCCAAGGTGCCTGCAGGTCACGGAATAAATGTAAGCCGTGTTTTCGTGGGCCAAAATCTGATGCCCGCAGAAGCCCGGCTTAGGTGTCGCTTAATGTCAGGGCCCAGGCTGCTCCAGGCAGATGAGATGATTTATTTGGCAGATGTGAGGTAGGGAATGATACACCCATAAAAGGAAATGGCACATTTATAAGAGAACAGGGCATTTGTGCTGAGGCGTGCAGGATTTACTACCACTTGCGTAAGAGCCCGCCATTCCTATAAATCCCAAACCCACCTACTGTCGTAAGAAAGTACATTTCATGTAGAATTATTCTTCTAAGTGGATTAATAGCAACAGGAGGCCCGTAGGTCATGTTAAGCTTGCCACTCCCTGCAGCCTGTTATTGGTGCCAACCAGGACTGGGATACGGGAGAGGATGTGGAACAGCACATCCTCTGTTTCCCAAAGAATCCTGGGTGCTGTTCAGGGTGCTGAGAATTGTAGCTCTGTGAGGAGTGGACTATAGTTCACAGGATTCTTTAGGAGGGTGCTTTAAACTACGGTTACCAGATTTTTTTTAATGAATCCGGGGACACTTTTTTTTTTTAAGCCGAGTAGCAACAGGGAGTCAGTAGTGGGGATGGTAAGGCAAAAGACCCTGGGCTCAAGCACATATGCATATTGTATAAAGGTGCAAAGCCCTTCTTTCGCACCCTGTGAAACATAAATGCTCTGTTTTTAAAAAACCAGGCAACGGCGCGCCGCCTGCCCGTGACTCCTGAGCCTCCCCCAATCTCCTTCCCCCTTCCCCCTTTGTTTTGACTGATCAGGGGAGGCTAAGGAGTTGCGGGGTTTCCCAGTTTTTAAAAAACTATGTGCATTTATGTTTCACAGGGTGTGAAAGAAGGGCTTTGCACCTTGCCTGGCAGAGAAACCATGCGCCTTGCTCCCCTCCTGGGCAACGGCCGCCCGCCTGTGACTCCCAAGCCTCCCCCGATCTGTCAAAACAAAGGGGGAAGGAGATCTGTACCGCCGGACATCCCTGGTTCCCCCTTGGCAGTGGCGGCGGCAGCAGCGAGCAGCTCCTGAAGCCAGCCAGAGCCAACTGTGCTACCAGGCTGGCTCTGGGCTGCTGAGGCTGCCGCTGCCACGTTTCCCGGGGACAGATTTGCAAATCTGAGGACATTCCGGGGACAGATTTGCAAATCTGGGGACTGTCCCTGGAAACTGGGGACATCCTGTACCCCTACTTTAAACGCCTTAGTTGTCTCTTCTGATCAGAAAGGGCAGAAATGTTTCCTCTTCTTCTCCAGCTCTTCCATCCTTCTTTACTCCAGGCACGTCTCGGGTGGTCAGACACAAAAGACGACAGGGCTCCCGAAACTTTTAATAGCTGTACAGAAGAGAGAAGCTTGGCAGGTGTAACTTGCATGATAAGATACACCTGCTGAAAACCCCTCTCCTGCACAAATATTAAATGTGCAGGAGCTCCATCTCCTTTTGCACCTGCCCACCTTAGGCGTGCCTATGAGCCATCCGCCTTGAAGGATTGAGGGGAAAGTAAAGTCATCCACACATCAAGGTATTCTCTCACGCATGTTGAGTTCAGCAGTGGCAGCATGACCGGGTTCGCTCTGGGTCCTTAGCAGAATCATGTAAAGCAGAATCATCTGGAGGTTTGAGGGCAAGAGCCTTTTCTATCAATCACATCAAGGAAGGCCACCGGTTTTGTTGTCCTTACAGCTTTCGAACGATGAAGAAATCCATAATGTGGGCACATCCCTGACCTTTGGTTTCGGCACCCTGGCCTGCTGGATTCAGTCTGCCCTAACGCTCAAAATAAACCTGAAGAATGAAGGAAGGAAAGCTGGGATCCCACGAGTCGTCTTGTCGGCAGCGATAACCCTCTGCGTCGTCCTTTGTATCCTTTAATTCTGCACATTTTCTCCAGGTGCCAACTTCTCATCTCAAAGGAGGAAAGTTCACGATCTGATAAATTAGAGTTTGCAGGCGATGAACTGTTTGCATGAGGCTGTAGTTTGCCATTGCAGTTTTGAGTATCAGCACATGTACTGTGAAATCAAGTCTTAACACTAATCCCCAGAACTCATTCAAATTATGAATTTCTGAAACTATAAATTCCGCTAAAATTTAAATTTTGATGCAGGCGATTTTTGTGTGCCAAGCATGTAAGCTTGGATTTTCAATGCAGTCCTGTGCCTTAAGTTGTGATCCTGTACCAACATACCTGAAAGCAAGCCCTACCTGTGTGGTGTAGTGGTTAAGAGCGGTAGTCTTGTAATCTGGGGAACTGGGTTCGATTCCCCGCTCCTCCACATGCAGCTGCTGGGTGACCTTGGGCCAGTCACACTTCTTTGAAGTCTCTCAGCCCCACTCACCTCACAGAGTGTTTGTTGTGGGGGAGGAAGGGAAAGGAGATTGTTAGCTGCTTTGAGACTCCTGAAGGGAAGTGAAAGGCGGGATATCAAATCCAAACTCTTCTTCTTCTTCTTCTACTAAATACATTGGGGCTTACTTCTGGGCAGAAATGCATATAATTCTGCTCCTAGAGTGAATTCATATACACCCTTAACTGGGGGTAAGTTCAGTTTATTTCTGAGTATGTATGGGATTGTACTGAGCAAGTCCCAAATTAGTTGCCTGATGAAAAATGTGTTTTGACCAAGGGAAGATGCATAATATGAATACTCTGTGACCCTTTAGTAACTGCTCTGTTTTAAGAACATAACTGTAATGGGTATGAGTTACTCGTGCGTAAACTGGTGCTGCTCTAGGCTAATTTGCCTGGTTAAACCTTTCTGACTGCACAGCCCCTTCTCAACGTGGCTGCCTCAGTCGCTAGCAGAATCCGTCAGTGGGCGTTTCTTAAACCTCTTCCAACATAAAAGCTGTTTGACACCCAGTCTCCTCCTCCTCTCACTGCGCGGGACTCTTCTGCGCAGGGAGGGCGTGGGTAGCGGAGGACCTGTGCTCTCCTCACTGATGTCCAGTGAAGAGTCCTGGAGCCCTCTCTCCGCTTCCCCCATCTGCCCCCCTTTATCCCTGGTGTTGCGCTGATTTGCTTCCCCCTCTATTGAGCCGTTTCTTCCCCTGCTGCTAGGTCCTTTGCCTGCATCATCTGGGAGCCTCCCCTTCGCCTCTCGCTCCGATGTCAGTTCCCTGACAATAAGCTAAGAGTGTAAGAAGGCGGTTGCTGGATCAGATCCACGGCTTATTGAGCCCAGCATCCCTCTCTTACAGATGCTTAAGGGAAGCCCGTAATTTCTTCAACTATACCAAGCCTACAAAAGCCTGATACTAATGGCTTGAAAGAACAGAGATACAATTCCCCTTAATCAGTGGTGACATTAGCAACATATGAACCGACAGCTTATAGACTTAATTTTCTTTGGATAAATTCAATGGTATTTGGAATGAGTTTACACAGAATATATTGGGGTACTGACAATTACCGTATATGTGCATTAGGATAATAAGAATATACACATCTGTATATGAATGTATAGTAAAGTATCAGTATTTTTATCCTCTGTTACATTCTCACTCACTTTCTGCTTTATTTCTCTCTCTTTTTTCTAAAAGCAATTCTTTTATTTATATATATTTTTTAAAAACGCTATACGGTGGTACCTCGGGTTACAGACGCTCCAGGTTACATACGCTTCAGGTTACAGACTCCACTAACCCAGAAATAGTACCTCGGGTTAAGAACTTTGCTTCAGGAGGAGAACAGAAATCGTGCTCCGGCGGCGCGGCAGCAGCTGGAGGCCCCATTAGCTAAAGTGGTACCTCAGGTTAAGAACAGTTTCAGGTTAAGAACGGACCTCCAGAATGAATTAAGTTCTTAACCTGAGGTACCACTGTACCAACCTACAGAACTTGTGATGCACTGAGCCAAATTCATCCCACTGGACAGCTATTGTAGTTTGTCAAATTTGGGTAAAAGAGTTTGTGCTGTCAGTGAAGGGCGGTGGGGAAAGTATGAGCATGGCTTACATGGCCCTGCCCTTGAACTCTGTACCCTGATTTGGGTCTTGTGGACAAAGGCTCCACAGACCTGCTTTCTTTACAAGACCTGATCAAGGCATGGGACTGTGGGACAGTGAGCATGGTCCTGCTTCTCTCTCCCACGTCTCGAGTGAGATTTCATTTGTGTATAGATTTCTTTTTGTGCGCACAAGGCTACCATTTCCAGTACAGTTATTAGCAGGAATCATTTTGAGTGAAAATTGTGTAGATTCTTTTGGTGCATGGCACAGAGATCTTGAAGAGAATTTTGGAGGTGCAAAACCAGAGATCTGTATTAAATGGGTGCGGTTTTTATGAATGTGCCCTCACTGTCACATGCAAAATTAGCTTTCCTTTCTCATCTCTTATCTCCTTGTTTTGCATACACACAGCATTGGAAACTTGCCAGCCTTATTATCCCTTTTGCATGCTTTTCTTCCTGCTAATGCAGTTCTCAGAAGACAGAGGTAAGGTTCTAATAAAACAACAGCAGCAAGTTGAGTCTGGTAAAAAAAAACCCACGTCATCTGAAATGTCCTTACATAAGCCTTGCGAAAGTATGATGAACTCTTGATGGATCAGTGTGCCGGTGTAATAAAGTGGGTGTCTGCAAAGTGGGGGTATCTGTTTTAATACCAAATGGGGTGCATAGGAAGGGGAGAAAAACTTGGCCCCCTCCCCTACTTGGCTTCTTTCAGCTGTGAATTCCCCATGAATACCAAAGCCCAAATGGGTTGTGAAAAGGACCAACCCTCCCATCGCACCTTGTGAAGAATAAATGATGCAAAATAAGAGAAATAATAATAATAATAATAATAATAATAATAATAATAATAATAATAATAATTTATTATTTATACCCCACCCATCTGGCTGGGCTTCCCCAGCCACTCTGGGCGGCTTCCAAGCAAATATTAAAATACAGCAATACATCAAACATTAAAAGCCTCCCTAAACAGGGCTTCCTTCAGATGTCGTGGTAGTTGTTGTTCTCTTTGACATCTGGTGGGAGGGCGTTCCAAGTTTAAGTTAAACAACTCACAGAATTCTACTTCTTTTGGTGCAGTATTTGGGTTGCCTGGGTGCCGAATGTTTTATTTTTTAGCACAGCGTTGACACAGCCCTGCATGTAAGACAGCCTCATCCACGTTCTCTTGAGAGCCAGTGTGGTGTAGTGGTTAAGAGCGCTAGACTTGTAATCTGGGGAACCGGGTTCGCGTCTCCGCTCCTCCACATGCAGCTGCTAGGTGACCTTGGGCCAGTCACACTTCTTTGAAGTCTCTCAGCCCCACTCACTTCACAGAGTGTTTGTTGTGGGGGAGGAAGGGAAAGGGGAATGTTAGCCGCTTTGAGACTCCCTAAGGTAGTGATAAAGCGGGATATCAAATCCAAACTCTTCTTCTTCTTCTCTTCTTCCTGCGCTCGAGAGCCTCCTGCACATTTTTCCTTGACGCCTCTCCAGATTTCATCTTGATGTCCCAGAAGTTCCACATGCACGCTGCGCGGATACAGTGGGGAATGGTGATGTGCTTCCTCTGCTACTTCGGCTCCTTTGCTGTGGAGTTCAGACACTACCGCTTCGAGATCATCTGCTCCGAGTACCAGGAGAACTTCCTCAGCTTTTCCGAAAGCCTCTCCGAAGCGTCCGAGTACCAAACAGATCAGGTGTAACCCAGGCCACTCTCTCTTTCCTTTTGTCGTGGCTTTAGGTTCCCGTAGACACATGGTTGAACCCCTGGTCCTATTCCTCCCCCTTTTCTTTTTAAAATACTTGTTCATTTTCCACGCCTACAAGTTGCCAAAAAGTATTTCCCCCCAAAAAACTAGGTATTTTAAGAGACACGGAACTGCCACCGCCCTCTGTGCCTCTTTCCCCCACTTCCTCATGATGTGTTTTGCAACGCAATGTGCGATGCAATGTAATACCAGCATCTCCCCAGGCACCTCTCATCGTTGGCCGGCTGAAGCGGGTGAAAACGCAGTCACATCCTATTCTGTGTCATGTTGTGGATGTCGCAAGGAAGAGGCAGCAAAGGGATGTGGGGGCCGCTTTAGGAGGTCTAGTCCCACCCTAAGGGTACCTAGGAAAGGTGGGAGGCAGGAGTCTTCTGAATTCATCGGTGTGGCTGCAATACAGTTCAGAACAAGATTGGCGCCTTTGCTGCTATGGGCCTGGCTGTCCATCAGCTTCCTGTACTCCCTCCCTTAAATGCAAATTTTGAACCGCAGGAAGGGCTCCCAGAAAAGGTAGCTGCCTCCCCTCACTCTCACCCCTAGTGCGCCAGGGAATTTGCTCCCAGTCTGTGCCAGTCTCTGCGATCTAGGGAGTTCCTTCATTTCTGGATTTGCTCCTCGGTTGGGAAACATGGAAGCTGCAGCTTCTGGTGCAGGCTTCCCCAACCTGCGGCCCTCCAGATGTTTTGGCCTACAACTCCCATGATCCCTAGCTAGCAGGACCAGCGGTCAGGGATGGTGGGAATTGTAGTCCAAAACATCTGGAGGGCCGAAGGTTGGGGGTGCCCGTTCTAGTGTCTGCCTACCTCCATTCCTTGCTTCCACCTTCCCCACACCCCCTACCCTGCCAGTTGCAGCAAGCAGGTCTCTGAAGATGCCACACAGAGGAGGAGGCATGGACCTGGTACGTGCATGCATGGAAGGAAGACGAGGAGCCACAGCTACTTAGGTCTCTTGCTTCAGATGCAGATTTAACAGGTTACCCCCAAGCTGCAGCCTGCTATTGCATTACCTCCCTCCTTATTGTGTGGCACAAGTCTTTTAAAAGCGGAAGGGCCTTGCTGGAAGGGGGAAAGCTGGCAAACCTTGAAGCAGCCTAGTCTACTAACTAAAGCATCAGGGCAAAGGGGAGAGGGGACCTCTCATTCTTCTCCTGAAACTCAGGGGTTAGGGTTGCCACCTTTCCCCTAAACGTTAGGGCTTTGGTGGTTTTCAGAACCATGCTGAAATACTGCAGGTGACAATTTGCTGGCTAGGAGGAGGATGAATGAAGTTCACCCAAGGACCACCTACATTTTTAAATAAACGCAGCCAACATTCCTTAGTTCTTTTCTCCTGCTGTTGATGGGCATGGGGTTTGGTTCAGGGCTTCCAAGTTAAATGATTGGAAATGAATGCATGGTCAAAACATGGGAGAGTATCCTGTGATTGCATTGGGCCAAAGTCTGCTGTTGGACATGGACTATTTTGCTTTAAAAAAACAATCCACTTCACTATGTAAAGTACACAAACGTCTCAATAAGTAGAAAGGTAGGTTTGGGGGAGGGGCTGTAAGAGGTGAAACCAAGACAAATGAGTTTTATACACAGCATACAGCAACTGAGATGCACACAAAGACACATAGCTAAAATAGGCTTCTGTTCAAATGTGTTTTACTGTAAATATTATGTGATGTTGTTTTTTTAAAAAAGAAAATGTTTTACGTTGTATCATTTTATATTTTGAAATTTTATCGGAAGGAAAAATCCGTTTGTGAAAGGTTTTTCATTTTTGTTTTTCCTGATATGCAACCACTCAAGCTGAAATTCAAGCTTTTTTTGGTGATATATTGTACATTTCTTAAAAGAATTTCTTATGGCACATTTCAGTACAGCTGAGCAATGACTTAATTCCTGTACACTAAAACATGACCACTAAATAAATTTCTTTTATGGAGAGCGTTGAGTATTTATTGCACATGTACGCACACTCAAGAGAGTGTTGGATGGAGCAGGAAAGCAGGTTCTGCAGCTGCATGCATGGAGATGCTAATTTTTTTTTTTTACTTCAGGTGAGGAACTTTTTCAGACCAAAGACTGTGTTTCTTTCTGAGATACCACCTAGGGACCATATGCCAGTGGCGGGCAAGGCCAAAGGCAAAACCATAGAGGGATTATAATAGATTGATGTGATAGGACCTAGGACCCACATACCTACGGGACCGCCTCTCCTGGTATACCCCTCAGAGGACCTTAAGGTCCACAAATAACACTTTGGAGGTCCTGAGCCTCAAGGAGGTTAGACTGGTTTCAACTAGGGCCAGGGCCTTTTCAGTACTGGCCCCGACTTGGTGGAATGCTCTGTCACAAGAGACTAGGGCCCTGCGGGACTTGACATTTTTCTGCAGGGCCTGCAAGACAGAGCTGTTCTGCCTGGCCTTTGGTTTGGACTCGGTCTGACCATTATATTTCCCTCCCCTTATGGTCTTGATTTATTGGCTATTTTAAAATGAGGCTGCATTTTTAACCTGTATTTTAAATTGCCCCCCCTTCCCCCTATTATGTTTTTACTGTAATTTTATTAGTGTTAACCGCACTGAGACCGGCTCTGGTCAGGGAGGGCGGGGTATAAATGTTATTGTTGTTGTTGTTATCATCAATGTTTCCGTTCATGTGGCATATAGGCAGCTTCAAGGATGAGCGGCAAATGTGCCATCCATGTTCACGATACCTGACATAGTGGAAGAGAACTGCCCCCTGTTCAAAAGAGCTTAAAAGTCTAACATTTAAGAACATAAGAAGAGTCCCGACCAAAGGCCCACTTAATCCAGCATTCGTCCTACTTGTGTTCTACACAACCTCTGTGACTAGCAGTCAGTGGTAGCCTGTCTAATCCACTTCTGGCGCCATCCAAGTTTATGGTCACTACGGCGTCTTGTGGTAGCGAGTTCCATAGTCTTAACAATGCACCGTGTGAAGAAGTGATTCTATTGGGCGAAGAGACCTCAAAGGAGAGGGACATAATTGTACAAGGATCTACTTTTGAAAGCCATCATCCTAAACGTACTTCAGTGGAAAAAAATCCTATTGACACGGGGTCACAAGCCCCTCTCTAGCCTTCATCCAAACACGCTTGAGGAGGGCAAGAGGCTGAACTGAGAGGCCATAGGGTAGCCCAGGAAAAGTGGGGTGGCGGTAGCAAAGGAGGAGGGCAACCTAGAGAGAGTTCTGGGGGCCAACCTGAAAGGTCTGGAGGGCCACATTTGGCCCCTGGACCTGAGGTTTCCCACCCGTTGTACATCTAGGCAAGAGAGAGACATTATGAGAGTTTAATAATAATAATTGTACTCCACCTATCTGACTGGGGTTGTGCCAGCCACATTCGCACTCAGCAAAAGTACTTAGGAGGGTATGAGGGGTGTGGCCTGGAGGGCCTTATTTGGCCCTGCATCTCTTCACCCGTCTTGAATTTATTAGTCCTAACAAAATCTCCACATCAAAAAATGAAATGTGTCTCGTCTCTTGCACAAATTAAAAATACATTCTGTGCATTGGGCCCCAAACGGGATAGAATCTTGTAAACTGTTTGGCGTGTCTGCCCATGACTTGTAATTCACTAATACAAAACCAATCACCAAGCAGAAAACACATTTTTGGGGGGTGTTGTACAGAGAAAAGTTTCCATTTCTTCTCTGACCTCCATCTCATCTTTATTTCTATTTCATACAAGCAGCTTCTTCTTCCAACGATTTTTTATTCTGTAACTTCTCTGGAACACACACAGAGAATGAAACTTTGCTGGTTGCAAGAGTTTCATGCTGGTTTAGGTTTTTCTGTGCCAAGCTTTCCACATAACTTTTGTACAGCTCTGATTAATATTTGTGACTTGTTTTGGGGAGATCTTACTTCTCCTTTATCAGAACTGTTCCTTTTGCACGGAACTAGGTTTTTTTGCACAGAACTAGGTGGGACGCGGGTGGCGCTGTGGGTAAAAGCCTCAGCGCCTAGGGCTTGCCGATCGAAAGGTCGGCGGTTCGAATCCCTGCGGCGGGGTGCGCTCCCGTCGTTCGGTCCCAGCGCCTGCCAACCTAGCAGTTCGAAAGCACCCCCGGGTGCAAGTAAATAGGGACCACTTACTAGCGGGAAGGTAAACGGCGTTTCCGTGTGCGGCTCTGGCTCGCCAGAGCAGCGATGTCACGCTGGCCACGTGACCCGGAAGTGTCTCCAGACAGCGCTGGCCCCTGGCCTCTTGAGTGAGATGGGCGCACAACCCTAGAGTCTGTCAAGACTGGCCCGTACGGGCAGGGGGTACCTTTACCTAGGTTTTTCCAGAGCTTCAGCCTATACAGACAGATTTGAATATTTTATAGATCATTCTGCTCCAAGGTGAGATTAAAAATAAAATAGCAAAGTCAAACATTTTTCTTTACTTTTTATGCAGACTAATTTTATGTTTGGATTTTTGTGGTTTTTATATCCTGGACACCATACTTATCTCTAGCAAGATGCATCAAAAACCACAGGAGCCTGTTTCCTGGAACAGTCTTTTCTTGAAGTGAAAGGCCAGCTAGAATTATGTAGTAAACTTTAAATGAAACTTTAAATTAAGAGGCTGCTGGAGGTTAGGTAGGGAGAGTTTAGTTGCAATTAAGATTAATCTTGCATATAACAGCCACTTTCCTGTAGATTTTTCATTCCCCAATATGCATTTCATGTTGTTTTCACTTTGATATTTCTAAGCTCACATCTTTCATAAACTAAACTGGCATGCGCTGGACTTTGATTGATGTATTTAAAATAAAATCCTTCCAAACAAATTAATAGCCTCTCAGGTTCTGTTCATCCTCTTGCCTATTTGGGGCAAATTAAGACTGTGTGGGATGCAGGTGGCGCTGTGGTCTAAACCACAGAGCCTAGGGCTTGCCGATCAGAAGGTCGGCGGTTCAAATCCCCGTGAGGGGGTGAGCTCCCGTTGCTCGGTCCCTGCTCCTGCCCACCTAGCAGTTCGAAAGCACGTCAAAGTGAAAGTAGATAAACAGGTACCACTCTGGCGGGAAGGTAAACGGCGTTTCCGTGCGCTGCTCTGGTTTGCCAGAAGCGGCTTAGTCATGCTAGCCACATGACCCGGAAGCTGTCTGCGGACAAACCCCGGCTCCCTCGGCCTATAGAGTGAGATGAGCGCCGCAACCCTAGTCTCGTCTGCAACTGGACCTAATGGCCAGGGGTACATTTACCTTTACCTTAAGAACCTGACTACAACTCCCATCATCCCTGATTAGTGGCCATGCTCCTTGGAGCTGATGAGAGCTGAAGTCAAACAATACCTGGAGAGCACCAGGTTCCCTGATCCCTCCTTTAGAGAGTGTCCCACTTCATTTGTGTGCTTTGAAAGATTACCAGAGGTCAAATTTGCAACAGGTAAGCAACTACCAACATGATACAGGCGCTTGACAAACACTAAAGACAAACCTTTATTTACCACAAGTGCTTGGGCGGAAGTGAAGCCAGTTCAGACAGAGGGGCCATGGCTGCTGGTCTTCCATTTCGGCCACAGATTTGTTTAAAGACAACACATGCATTACAAGGCGACAATCACACGGACATTGAATAGATCTGCAGCAAAAGGGACGCCTCCCATCGCTACTCAAGGAAGAAGCTTTATTGCTCAAATGGATTTCATTGGAAATATTTTGTTTCCCAGCATGCAAAGGTTGTAGTGAGAACTGGGATCCTTACGCAGCAGGGTGGATACATATTCATGTGCACTGTTTCTAACAGCCCTTTATCCCTGAAGAGGCCGCAGAAGAGGTCAAAGCCTTGTTCTGGGCTTCTGCATAGGGCAGGACTTTTCCCTAGGACAAAGCCTGCCCACCCCCTGGTCCTACAACATAATGTGAATGTAACTTGCTATACTTATGGCCACATCTGCACAATACTATTAAAGCAGTATCATACCCCTTTAACAATCATACGGTGCTACAGTTCCCAGAATTGTTTATCAACCCCCCTTTCCAAGAAATTCTGGGAATTGTCGCTCTGTGAGGTGATATGGGTTCTCCTGAAAACTCTCAGCACCATTAACAAACCGCACTTCTGATGGTTTTGGGTGGCGATGAGGAGCCACTACCAAGTTGTATCACAGTGTTTGAAATTTACAATGAGGATGTGGTCTGTTATATTCTGCATTCTGCCTATCTTAAGACATAAGTGTTCCAGGCCATCAGCCATCTAGGTCCTGGCCAGTCACAGAGCTGCTCAGTACTGGCCAAGACTGCTGCAAAATATGCCTTGAAGACAATGCCCTGGTTACAGTGCCTTGCAATAGTATTTACTTACAAGCAAGGAAGTAGTTGCTTGTGTGGAAAACGACACTGCTTTCTCTCAGCATTCGCCCTGTCCGGTGTGGATGAAGTTGTATCTCTTCCACGCAGAACGGAAAGGGGAAGGAGCAGCTTGGAAACAGCTGTATGCCAAGGCACAGCTGCACACTGAATTTGAGGCGATACACACTCCTGTCTTGGAGACCCAAAAAAACCATGCAGACTTTGAAAGGGGTCAGTGGGGTGAAACGTCTGGGGGGAAAAAAAGATGACATTTTGGGAATTCAACAGCCACAAAATGGTACAAGTAAAGGGAGAAATGATTGGTGTGATTTGTGGCATCGACGTCACAGGTACTGTCCAATTGATTGCAGCTGCAATGCACAAAACACTCAACCTATCAGTAGCTGAAGGGGAGAGATTGTGTTTGCCCACAGTAAAGGGAAAATACAATCCTTCCCTCCCCCGCCAATCTATACATTAGCTATGCTAACGTTGTACAGATTTCCCAAAACACGCTGGGACTGGGGTGGGCAAAATATCGCACCACCTTGGCACAGAAAGCTTCGCCTGGGAAGGCCTTCAAAAGTGTTTACAGATTTTGGTCTGCAAGTCAGTTCACGCTGCATCCTCTCAGTACCTTATTTCCTCAGCGCATTAGTTAACTCTTAAGCAGAGCAGATAATGCGATCTTTGCATAGCAGGCTACATTCCAGCATGCAAAACTCGGGGCTTTTGTGTCTCTGCTTGCCAAATCTCTCTATCCTTCACTAAGACAAACAAGATTGGGGCACGTTCCAGCTAGATAAACGCACCAGAGGAGCAGAACCTGGAAGGGGTGTGGCCCGAGGAAGGGGTGTGGCCAAGGAAGGGCGTGGCCCGAGGAAGGGGTGTGGCCTGAGGAGAATCCCATGGGCGGGATAGAGGCCTGCATTTGGCCCTGATCCTGATGTTCCCCACCCCTGCTTGTAAACCAAAAACAGCAGAACATAAAAACCTTAAAAGACTTGTTTATTATTTGCAGGAGAGAATGAAGCTAAGGGAATGTGTGTCTGAGGTAAACATGCTGGGCACAACCCACGGCAAGGATCTCCTACACAGGAGCCTCTGGAGATGAACGGCGGCTGCGGGTAAACTTAGGCAGCCCCCTTCGTCTCAAGAAGGCCTTCCATGGACAACATCCTCCTGGTGGCTTGCATGACTTCCACGTGCAATTCCAAAGCAAGGATGTGCTGACAACCAGGGCTTTGCAGCCGCTGGGTCCAAGGTGTGCCTGCAACACCAGCAGATGTCTCAACCACACCGGGTTCAAATTCCTGTCGCTGGAAGGCCAAGGATCCCAATGCTCTCAATTCCAAAATTCATGTCACCAGCAATAAACTACCGTATTATAGTACAAGGAGGATTTTGGTCAGGCTCCCGTATCATCCTTTCTTTCCTTAACAGAAATGCAGAAATTTGCTTCTTTAAGTGGAGGACGGCAAGAAGAGTTCGTTGAAAGAGGTTATGAGTCTATAATAAGATTTCTCGTCGTCTGTCAGGCCCGCGTTGCCCGGCCGGACTACTATCGCCACATGCACGTCGACTTCTTCTGCGGCATCTGCCTCTGAGGGGAAAAGAGCAAGAATAATCCATCAGAAGAGGGTGAATCCAGATACACACAACCATCTTATTACTGCTCATATTCTGGAAGAAGGAAAGATGGATAAACCACTCTGGGAACTATAGCTGTGACAAGCACAGCTCCATAAGAGAAACAGGGACTTTCCTCGCAACTCACAGCGCCCCTTAATAAACTACAGTTCCCAAGATTCTCTGGGGGTAGTCATGACTGTTAAAATCAGTATAATCACGCTTGAAATGGATGCAGTTCACAGTGAACAGCTTCTGGGCAGACTTACAAGAAGATAAGGATCACAACAACCAAACTTGCTTTCTTACCCCGAGTGACATCCGTCAAGAACAGTATGTTGCTTGTGGAACACCCGATGCTTGCGGCAATCCTCTGGTAACTCTCGCTGTCCACTTTCGGGCCTATTTTGGTGTCAAAGTGGCCATCAAAGAGCTGGAAGATTTAGGAAGGACATTTTGTTTTTAAAGGAGAGGTTTAACGTTTCTCATGCTCTTCTTTCATTTTTGTGTTAGTATCGCTTTTTCTGGCTTGTTGGCTCGGTGTGTTCTTTAATGCAATGTTGCTTAGTTTAAGATGTTAAATTAGGCCAGCTTATTCGTACTGTTTTACGTCGTACGGACTGACATTTGCATTCACTGATGTTGTGATTATATAGAATAATTTCTTACGCGTCTAGTACTTATTTCATAAAAATTATACACTGCTCAATTGCAGAAAAACCAGTTACTTCCCCCAGTTTGCAAAATTTAACAGAAGCTAGAGTCCTGGCTAGATTGCGAAGACCCCTCTAGGCCCCGTTTACACATGGGGGTTAAAAACAGCCTGTACAACTTCATGCTGCAAGAGGATATGAGCCCTTTAAAAAAAAAGTTCTGCTTTAGATTTCAGGATTTTTAAAAATAGTATTTTGCATTTTGATTTCTGCACTGTGCTGATTTCTTTTTTAAAAAAATACATTTATTTACATTTTATACATTCTTTTTTTATTATTTTTATTTTGACAAAGTAATAATCATAAATAAATAAGAATAAAAATGTGCACCCCACCACCAAGACCATTCCATTGTAACTACCCAGCCTCCCAAAATTTCAACACCTCTTGCAATGGTTTGACCCCCTTTCCGTTTTAACAGTACAAATTCTACTAACACCCTGATTTTTAATGCAAATCAACCTTGTGTTCTTCAGTAAAATCACAGGACACCCAGATATTTCCAAAACTCTCAATGCAATAAAATTAAAATGCACAGCAGAGCGAAGCGTTCTAGTTCAGCCTGCTCCCCACTGTGCTTGTATTCCGCTTGCAAGTAAATTTCATTTTTTTCACTAAATAAAGGAGCATGGAAGGAGGAGGAGATGGGAATTCCTTGAGCTGCAGTGTGAAGTGAAAAATTCCAGTCTGCCGCTTAATTCCTTCACTGCATGTCTTCTCTGCTTTTTCCCATTTTATTGTCTCAAGGACATAGAATCACAGCACTGGAAGGGACCCTTTAGTTCAACCCCCGGTAAGGCAAGCTGTCTCCAGAACATAACCATCAAGGTTACTTGATGGCTTTATCCTCCATCTTGTGAACGCAAACAGACACTCTGCACCTGAGAGAAGTTGGAAGTGAGACCGTTTTAGGGCGGAAGAAGCTGGAAAGACAAAGAAAGGAGACAAACCTTTCAGCGTAGTGCCTACCTCGCAAATATCGCCTTCCGTAGAGTTCCCAAAAAAGAGCTTTTGCGCCTCAACACTCCCAGAGGAATAGATGTAAACTTTCATCCCTGCTTCTCTCCATTTCCTGACTGCTGGAACCACATCATCAAAGAACCTGTAATGGACGGGGAATAGCAATGCATGAGGCGGCAAAATATCTTGAAGAGACAACAGAAGTGCTTGCCTTATTTGTGTGCAGAATTTGCTGGACAGACACATTCCACAAATGCGCAAGAAGACCTGATGCACCTTAGAATTACAGGAACAAAAATGTTCCGATAATAAACGGTCTCCCTCGGGAGGTGGTGGACTCTCCTTCCATGCAGGTTTTTAAGCAGAGGTTGGAGGGCCACCTGTCAGGGATGCTTTAGCTGTGATTTCTGGGTTGGATCAGATAATCCTCAAGGTTCTTTCTAACTCAACAGTTCTATGGTTCTAGGATTCTATGCGTGTCTCTAAATTATGAAGAGATATATACAGACACCCATCCCAACACTGGATGATAGCAACAACAAGAAGAAGAATCCCATCCTAAAGTATGCTGCTGAATCAAAGAAATCAAGCTTGGGGGAAGGACCAGGAATGGATGTGTGTCCATTCAGTCTTGATACTCAAAGATACTCCACTCAGTTCTGATACCCCTAAACTCAGAATTAATTCATTCTAAGGGTGCATTTTGCACCTGGCTTCAGCAAAAAACAACAACTCCCAAACAAACAGGAAGTTGATTCTGCAAACCTGAAGTCTGGCCAGTGCTAGGGTCAAAGCACCATGTGTTCTGCTCTCATGTGCAGATAATAATAATAGTAATAAATAAAAACCGGGCTCAAGGCGGCTAACAACAAATTTAAAACACTTAATTGTAAAAGCAGCATAAAATACAGTATAAAAACATGAATAACAATAAAATTCAAAGTTCAGAAATCAATTTAGGGGAAATCCGTCTAATAAACATTAGATAGTCACCAGGGCTAGCTGGCTGAATTAGTCCTATTTGGGCCAGCGAGGAGGCCAGGGGAGAATTAGCTGTGGGATCTCAGAGTGTGTAATCTTCATAAAAGGGGAGGGGGAGGAAAGAGAAGGGAAATAAAAGATCAGGCTGAATTCAAATTAAAGGCCAGGCGGAATAGCTCTGTCTTACAGGCCCGACAGAAGGAGGTTAAATCCTGCAGTGCCCTGGTCTCATGGAACAGAGCATTCCACCAGGCCGGAGCCATCACTGAAAAGGCCCTGGTAGAGGATAGTTTGACTTCCTTAGGGCCCGGGACCTCTAAACTATGGTTATTCATGGCCCTTAAGGTCCTCTGCGGGGCATACCAGGAGAGGTGGTCCCGTAAATACAAGAGCCCTAAGCCACAAAGGGCTTTAAATGTCAAGACCAGCACCTTGAACCTGACCCTATACTCCACCAGGAGCCAGTACAACTGGTAAAGCACTGGGTGAATATGCTCCCATGGCAGGGACCCCGTGAGGAGCCTCACTGCAGCATTCTGCACCCGCTGGAGTTTGTGGGACAGTTTCAAGGGCAGCCCCGGATAGAGCGAAATACAATAGATCCCCTCTAAATGTGTGTTTATGGTTGTTTGGAGGGCGGGAGCAATGGGGCAATAACGCACACTGGCCACTCATGTCATAAACGCTAGACACTCACTCTCCCTTCAGGCGGCCGTTTTCGTACGCTGCCCTCCATATGTGGCCTTGGAGCTGCTTTAAGGCAGTTGTCTTCCTGTCTAAAGACATCTGCCAGTGGACGTTGTCTATGACGGCCTGGATGATGCGCTCCACCTCTTCCTCTCCATCCCTGGTCTCCAGCGGGATGGGCACCACTCCATCCATGTGGGCATCTTCTTCAGCCTTTGGGAAACGATGAGAAAATGTTATTAGCAGTGATAGGGACTCCTACTTCAAAGAGCCCAGCTGGGTCAGATTCAGGGTCCATCTACTCCAGCATCCTGTTTGCTGAAGGATCAGCCAGAGTTCCTTTCCTGCTACCGATGTGCCGCGATTAACATAGGTACTCGTGACTTTGTCCTAAACCTGGTGTCCAGAATGCAGCAAGAGAAGACTAGAATAACTGTATACCTGAAGAAGCATCTCCACCCCCATCGCTCAGCCCAGACACTGAGGTCCACCTCCAAAGGCCTTCTGGCGGTTTCCTCATTGCAAGACCTGAAGCTACAGGGAACCAGGCAGAGGGCCTTCTCGGTGGTGGCGCCCACCCTGTGGAATGCTTTCCCATCAGATGTCAAGGAGATAAAGGACGACATAACTTTTAGAAGATATCTGAAGGCAGTCTTGTTTTAATGGTTGATGATTTATTGCATTTCTAATATTTTGTTGGGAGCCGCCCAGCGTGTCTGGGGAAACCCAGTCAGATGAGCGGCATATAAATAATAAAATCATTGTTATTAGAAGAAGAAGAAAAGGAAGGGATGGCAAACACTTTACCTGTTTTCTCAGAAGGCCGACGTCTTCTTGGCACTCCTCTTCCTCCCAGTGCGCACGAAGGTACTCTCGGATGTTGTCTTTGATGTAGGAAAACAGAGTATCCTGGCGGGACAAAAAGCGAAATGAACATGAGGCAGAAATGTTTCCATCCCTGTATTCCCACCCCTTTCTGTGGAAAATTTTTCCATTTTTAGAGTGACCTCAGCCCTACTCATGTGTTGTTAGCTCACATAGGGCATCGACATGCGGAGCAGCGGTAGTCAACGTAGTGCCCTCCATCTGTGGCTGGACTCCAGCTCCTGTGGTGATGGATGATGGGAGTTGTAGTCCAACGACAGCTGGAGACTCCAAGGGTGGGAGAACACTATTCTAAGGGGAAATGGGGATTAGGCCTGAATGTCATTCTTGCAATACAGTGGTACCTTGGTTTACGAACTTAATCCGTTCCGGAAATCCGTTCTTAAACCAAAGCCATTCTTAAACTGAGGCGCGCTTTCCCTAATGAGGCCTCCTGCCCTTCCACCGTTCGGCTTCCGTTCGTAGTCCGAGGTAAAGTTCGCTAACCGGAACACTATTTCTGGTTTTGCAGAGTTTGTATACCAAATAGTTCTTAAACCGGGCTGTTCTTAAACCGAGGTACCACCGTAGAAAGTTATGAGCAGGCGATGCCCCGCTGCAATTCAACTGATATTCTTAACATTTGAAAACGACAAAGCACATTTGCTTCCTGTGCTCTTCCTCGCCCTGTTAGTTCCAATTCCTGGTATTACAGAAGGGCACCGTGAATGCAAAGCCTTCAGCCTGCAACTGTTCAAGTGTGCCTTTTGGTTTAAATGCATCGTTTGATGGAGAATTAGCCAAGAGCAGTAGCGGATGGGGGTGCTGGGGCAGCCCTCACTTGACCTCCTGACAGCAGAGGCCCTGCTGCTTCCTGGGAAGGAGAGGGGCAAAGTGGTGGGAAGACAGGCGCGGTGAAAATGCAATGGCAGGAGCACTGGATTGGTGCTGGCAGTGCATTTGCACCATGCTGACCCCTGTGGCGATCACAAAGGATCCCCGAATGTTTCACCGTCTATTGATCCCTGTGCCACCACTTTCTTTCTCGCTGTCACCACCCAGGCCCTACCTGGTACAATACTGAGTCCAGTCAGGGTTAAACTGGAATATAAACTTCTGTTTATTTATTGCAGTTTAACAAGTGTGTGGTTTCATAAACAGTATCGGTCAATTACAATCATGGGGTGCCTATCCAGACCTATAACGTCCGCTACCTGCTCTCACTCACTAAACCACCTCTCAGATATTTACTTGTCTACCTAGCTCCTAACTGTTCCTGACTCAACTTATTTCACTATCCTAACTCAACCTACCCACAGACTCTATCCCAATTCACTCCCACTCCAACCAACCTCCCAACTCCCAACGAATTCCCCCCTTCACCCCTCCCAGAGCTGGTTTTATAGTCCCTCTGACTCCACCCCCTGGGTTCTGATTGGGTAACCTGTTTAACTATTTCACCTCTAGCACTCTCATATGTTAACGTCAACCCCCCATCCCAAACCCTCTCCTTCTCTGTAACCAGCAGTGACTCAGCTGTCAGGAAGCCAGTGGAGCACCACTGCCGCCTCCACTCCTTCTACTATTGGTCAAGAGTGAAATGCAGGGAAGTGTAGCTCTGAGACACTTTTCAGAACAGGAATAATGGCAACATCTGCTAGATCACCTGGCTAACTGGCAGGCCCTCCTTCCTCTGGCAATAATGAGGTTTCAAGTTTGCTTACGATGCATAAGCACAGAGAATTAAAAAGGATAAGCAGAGGCTAGATACGTCTTTCCTTTTATTTGATGGGGGTATGGCTTCACACAAGCAGTGGTAACGTTTCTTTGCAAGGTTGTTTTGTATTTCTAATTAAAGCTGCAGCTGGATGAACCTTTTTTGTATGAAACTCAGTACGTTTCACAAGTTGACGCTATGCAGTAAAGGTAAAGGTACCCCTGCCTGTACGGGCCAGTCTTGCCAGACTCTAGGGTTGTGCGCTCATCTCACTCTGTAGGCCGGGAGCCAGCGCTGTCCGCAGACACTTCCGGGTCACGTGGCCAGCGTGACAAGCTGCATCTGGCGAGCCAGCGCAGCACACGGAACGCCGTTTACCTTCCCACTGGTAAGCGGTCCCTATTTATCTACTTGCACCCGAAGGTGCTTTCGAACTGCTAGGTTGGCAGGCGCTGGGACCGAACGATGGGAGCGCACCCCGCCACGGGGATTCGAACCGCCGACCTTTTGATCGGCAAGTCCTAGGCGCTGAGGCTTTAACCCACAGCGCCACCCGTGTCCCTAGACGCTATGCAGTCGGAAGCAAAAACCACTGAGCTCAATGGAGTTTGTTTCCAGGAAACATTGTACAGGATTGCAGACATGCTAGTCCTAATCAACCGGGTATTGAGTTACGTACTGTTGCTCTTGGGATGCTTGTATGCATATTTAAATAATGCGTCAATACAGATGCCTGAATTTCGGGATATTTCTTGGGAGTGTTGGGATGGAAGCTCCAATAGGACAGCTGGAGATGAGGTGTTATAGCTGCTATTACTGAGTATCAGGATAAGTGCCAGTTTAAGGAACCTCTAGACTGGGCACAGCCAATTAAACAGAGAACAAAAAGTCTGATTTGCAGTTCATGTCCAGGGGCAATGGACCTGCTAATTGACAAATGATGCAGCCTTCAAGTCAGGTAGGAAATCAAGTTCAAGGTTGGCTGCTCATGCTGCAAAAATCAACTTGGAGAGAAAAAAAGTATTCTCAAAAGAGACTCCTAGTCCCTCAAAATTCTAAGGTTACTTTGAGAATAAAAAAGGCCAATTTGGTTCAAAAGGATAAAATCTTTCTTTAATAAGCTTTTCAAGGCAATGGGCCTCTTTTCCCCTCAAAAAGCTCCTCTTAACGCCTATTCACATACTCCCAGACCAGGTTCTGCTAGAGCAGGGTTTTCCAAGCTTGGGTCCCCAGCTGTTGGACTACAACTCCCATCATTCCTGACAGCTGGCTCTGCCAGCTAGGGATGATGGGAGTTGTAGTCCAACAACAGCTGGCGACCCAAGTTTGAGAAACCCAGGGCTAGAGGACAGAAGTAACAGGAAACATAGCAGTCATTATACAGTGGTGCCTCACAAGACGAAATTAATCCGTTCCGCGAGTCTCTTCGTCTTGAGGTTTTTTCGTCTTGCGAAGCACGGCTATTAGCGGCTTAGCGGCTATTAACGGCTTAGCGGCTTTAAGAAAAAGGAAACAAACTCGCAAGAACTCGCAAGACGTTTCGTCTTGCAAAGCAAGCCCATAAGGAAATTTGTCTTGCGGAATGACTCAAAAAACGGAAAACCCTTTCGTCTAGCAAGTTTTTCGTCTTGCAAGGCATTCGTCTTGCGGGGCACCACTGTATTAGCAAAGCTGGGGATTCATTTGAGGTGGCGTTCCAGGTAATGAAGTCAATAGGAGGGACCAGAAAGCATCAGGCGAACTTCTGAATGTCAGAAAGAGCATTTCTGGCACAACAATAATAGTTCTCTCTTTCCCTCTGTGTGTATGTGTTAAGGCAAAATACAGTGTCAGTAGGAAGCCTACTGTGTAACTGTGACCTAATTTCCTTTGTATTTGAGGTGACAGCTCTCAGCTCACTCACGTTTATATAGCAGGAGTGTGAGCAGAAGAAATAGAAGCCCTAAATTCTTAAGATTATGAAGTGTTTGTTCTACTTAAAAAAAAGAAGAAAAAAAGGCAAGGGTATACAGGGCCTTTACTCCTTTGGGGTATTTATTAAAAATTTTAACAACATAGAAGCCCAGTCCCAAATGTCTTCACTTAGGAAACACAGGCCTTATACAATGTCCATCTTGGTCCACATAGTCCAGTTCAGTGGTACCTTGGTTCTCAAATTTAATCCATTCCAGAAGTCCGTTCCAAAACCAAAACATTCCAAAACCAAGGCACGCTTTTCCATAGAAAGTAATGCAAAATGGATTAATCCGTTCCAGACTTTTAAAAACAACCCCTAAAACAGCAATTGAACATGAATTTTACTCTCTAACGAGACCATTGATCCATAAAATGAAAGCAATGAACCATGTACTGCAGTCACACAATCAATCAATCAGTAGCTGAACTGGGTTCCACACAATCACAAAAAACAAAACAAAAAGAGCCGCAAAAGCAAAAACGCAAAATAAAGAGCAAGAACAGACAGACTTCAGCGTAACGCTCAAAACGAGTGTGGCACTCAAAACGGAAGCATGGCACTCAAATCGGGAAGTGTAACACTCAGAACAGAGCACGTTTGGCATCTGAAAAAAGTTCGCAAACCAGAACACTTACTTTGGGTTTGCAGTGCTTGGGTTCCAAGCTGTTTGAGTACCAAGGCGTTTGAGAACCAAGGTACCACTGTAATGTCCACACTGGTGGGTAGTTGGCTCTCCAGAGTTTTAGGCATAGGAAATTTCCAGCCCTACTCAGTGAAGCCAGGGATTGAATTCGAGACCTTCTGCATGCATGCAAAACAGGTGCTTTACCACTGACATTTCCCCGGTTACATTTAAGGGCAGTAGTATAGTGAACACCGTCCTGAAAGAGAACCCTGTGTCATCTTAAACTGAACAGATGTAGAATCACCTTTTGTGGATTTATAACCCTCTGCAGGTGTGTTAAGCGTTATTCTCTGCTGGCAAATTTATAAACATGGGTAAAGAAAAATGATGCAAACTGCAGAGGCAGTGTATCTGAAGAAGTGTGCATGCACACGAAAGCTCATACCAAGAACTAACTTAGTTGGTCTTTAAGGTGCTACTGGAAGGAATTTTTTTGTTTTGACTATGGCAGACCAACACGGCTACCTATCTGTAACATGGAGAGACCTGGTCTGAACAAAGACATTGGATTCTTATCTCATTATACATGACAAAAGCCATTTTTCACCTTCTCACCCCTTGCTTTTTCCTGTAAAACCTATTGCAGTCGTTAAGAGTCGTCAACAGGCTCATCACAGCTATCTGCCAATCACCCATTCCTACCACCCTTCTGAGTAATACCCCTCCCCACCTTCTCACTATATAGAAGGATCTGGCAACTTCTGTTTCAGTGTATCTGAAGAAGTGTGCATGCACACGAAAGCTCATACCAAGAACTAACTTAGTTCGTCTTTAAGGTGCTACTGGAAGGAATTTTTTGTTTTTGACTATGGCAGACCAACACGGCTACCCATCTGTAACTGCAGAGGCCAGAAATTCAAAGCAACACAGGAAGCTCATATACTGTATTTACGTTTCATGGCCTTTTGCCCCTTCTGTTTAATAAATCTCTGGATGTGTCTGTGTACATGTGTGTGCGTATTACATATCTGACAACAGGCAGTAGTGCTTGATGCAATTAAATAAGGTCCCCGCTACAAAAGCACATGCAACAATACTATTTATGTGTATGCCACCATATGCATGTGCGGTGTTGTACAAAATTCAAGAAGGCAGATACCCTGCCCTGAGGCCTTTTTCTGGCCCATGTAGGACCAGTCTGGATAGTTGGCCTTGGTGAAGATTTGACATTTTCTCCCCACAAACGTAAAAAATATATTTTTTACGGCAAAAAAATATTGGCTTACAATTTAAACACATCCTCTTGACTAAATTGTGGGTGGTTATTACCCTAACAGATCACTGGGAATGGAGCTGAGAATGGTATTTATTCTAACCAAGAGATGCGCACATGAAAAGGATTTTTTTTTAAAGTACACAGTGGTAAAAGTACTTACATTTAATTCCACATTCTCTCAAGATTAAGTCACAAAGCAGTGAAATCTTTTCCCGAAATAGCACTGGATAAGCTCCCCATCATTCTAGACCAAAAACTGTCTTACAGATAAAAACAGCACAATTGCAGCAGAGGGGGTGGGGAGTGCCTGTTTTTACCATGTGTTTTTGCGATGCCCCCCCCCCCCAGGTCAACAAATCTATAGACCCTATCGGTAGCTTTCCACAGACCAAGAGAACAAAACCCAGCATTCTGCTACTGTCAACTTTCTTAAGAGGTTGCTTTGTATCTTTCTCCATGCCTCCAGGTTTCCCTAAACGCAGATGCTAAACGTTATGTGATTACAGAGGGAAACTGCCATACCCGTGCCAAGAAAAACGAATGTGGGGAGGCGCACAGATCGCTAATGTGCACCAGCGTTTGTTTACTCGGAAGGGGAAAGCGGCCTCACCTGCGCCCAAGGGAGTTGGGGGGAGCGCAGGCTGCGGCTTCCGACGGCCCGATCCAAACCCCCTCCCCCCCCCAAAAAACAGTGTCAGATGCGCACCCGACGGCGGGGCCTTTCTGCTCCCTCTGCCCCACCCACCCCAAATCTTCACCTTGACAAACGCGATGGGTGTCGTCGTGCCTTCGATGTCCAGGAGGAGCACTCTGACTTCTGCGGGGACGGCGAAGCCCACCATGTCCAACGCGGGGGCCCCCGAGCCGAGGGGGTGAGGCTGCTGGCTGCGCGCACGGCAGCGCGCAAGGCTCCGATCCAAGCACACAAGCGCGCACGGACCCTCCCCGGAAAGCGGCTTCACTGGGACGCGGCGTCGGAGGGGAAACGTCGGGAGGAGCCGCGGGGAACTGGCGAGAGAGAGAGAGGAGGGGATCGGGCGCACCACGTGGCTGGAAGCGGAGTCGCCGCTGCATCCGGATCGCGGGAGCCCGATTGGCTGCCGCGAATGGACGGGGAGGCGGAGTGGCCGTAATGCGGTGCGCAGGAGGAGGAGGAGGTGGCTGCAAGCGGCTGGGCGCATTCGCCGTGCGCTCTGCTGCGCGCACCGTCCAGGGCGCGCGCGCGCTCCTCTGCTCCGCGGGGCTTGCTCGCGGGGAAGAGCGCGCACATCGCCGCGGAGCAAGACCCCCGATGTGGCTAGTGGGGGGGGGGATTCCTCTCGTGCAGGCGCGCGGGGCTAAGGTGCAAACCGTGCGCCTTCCGAGGGAGCGCCTGAAATGCGCGGCGCGTTTTTGGAAAGCCGTTAAAAGGATCGGCATAGAAATTCAACCAAGGGGAAGCGAGGAAGTCACTTAACAATGTTAATAAATGTAATTTCAAATAAGGTTATGATTTATGTTTGTTTATAATTTTGTGAAAATTAATAAAAAATAATTGGGGGGGGCAATGAAATGCGCGGGGCGTCACCATCATCATATCCATATTAACAATTGGTAATAAGTCAGGCCTCGGGCTGCATAACGCGTGCGGCCATCCCCATTTCCGTAACCCAAAGTAGTTACGGATTTAATAGGCGTGCGCCCAAACTACCGTGTTGTGTAATAAAAGCTGAGCGGCCATTTTCCCCGCTGCGTAGAGCGAGTGGCTGGGGAGGAGGCATCTTGTCTGCAATACAGGAGCAGCATCTCCCTGCAGGTTTATCGGCAGGACAAGCCGTGCGGGGACCTTGTAGGCTGCATCCCTTGGTACCATTGGAATATTAGCTGGCACGCGCCCCCAGTTGCCCTACCGCTTCGAGGCAGAGGCTTCGTTTGCCCAAGAAACGCTTGAGATTCTTTATTTTGGGCACTGATGGTGGATTCAAAAGGTATGCTCAGAATTAGGGTCCTGTCCTGCTGTGGGCAGCCCAAGTTATTAGTGTGCATCGTTAACTGACAATGCCTTTGGAACGCGGCTAGAAGTGAATTGTTATTGAATTCTGGTATTTTGGTTTCTTGACTTGTTTCTACTCATTTCTCCTAAAAGGTAAAGGTACCCCTGCCCGTACGGGTCAGTCTTGACAGACTCTAGGGTTGTGCACCCATCTCACTCAAGAGGCCGGGGGCCAGCGCTGTCCGGAGACACTTCCGGGTCACGTGGCCAGCGTGACATCGCTGCTCTGGCGAGCCAGAGCCGCACACGGAAACGCCGTTTACCTTCCCGCTAGTAAGTGGTCCCTATTTATCTACTTGCACCCAGGAGTGCTTTCGAACTGCTAGGTTGGCAGGCGTTGGGACCGAGCAGCGGGAGCACACCCCGCCACGGGGATTCGAACCGCCGACCTTTCGATCGGCAAGCCCTAGGCGCTGAGGCTTTTACCCACAGCGCCACCCGCGTCCCTCATTTCTCCTATTTCCTGATTAAAGTCATCGGTGACTTGGTGCATCGGGACAAGCAGGGCTTAGCTCTACCCAGTGAAACATCAAGCTGGTCTTTTTAAAAGTTTCCTCCAAAATCTCAAACCCATGCTCTCTTTTTTGTCTCATGCATCTTTCCACAATCCATTTGAATTTAGTTTAGGGAGGGAGATAGTTCTGTCAATCTCCTATCCTCTTTACCACTCAGTGCAAAAGTACTGCTGTGGCTGGAAGGTCCCATCCACCTGTATCCAGGCAGAAAAACAAAATGATAGTACATGTGTATGTTAATGGCGCTTAGACCTGATTTTGCAGTTATTGCCCCTTCCTGCATGATGGTAATTTATAGCCATATTTGCAGGTCTTTCCCAGGAAGACTAAGGAGGCAATACATCTGTTCTGAGCATGCTCAGAACTGTTTCCTTGAAGGTCACACCTACAAAGTTCAGGGCCCAGCTGTGTGCTTTGCAACTTGTCTTTTTTGGTAAAACCTGGATTGGGACTTCTCTAGGTTCTGGTGAAGTGGAATACACAAAACACTGAGTGGGTGCTCTTATAGATTCCCATTATGTACAGCATTTACTATTGGTGTTTCTGCCCTGCCCCCTTTCATTCTGGTAAAAGAGTAGCAGCGAATCCATGTATCGTGCGGTAGAAGGCTTATATTCAGTGTTAGTCCTACTCAGAGTGCATCCATTGCAATTACAGTGGTACCTTGGATCTCAAACTTAATCTGTTCTGGAAGTCTGTTCCAAAACCAAAGCATTCCAAAACCAAGGTGCGCTTTTCCATAGAAAGTAATGCAAAATGGATTAATCCGTTCCAAACTTTTAAAAACAATTCCGAAAATAGCAATTTAACATGAATTTTATTATCTACCAAGACCATCGATCCATAAAATGAAAGCAATAAACAATGTACTGCAGTCACACAAATTAATCAATCAATCAGTAGCTGAACTGGGTTCCACACAGTCACAAAAACAACAAAAAGCTGCAAAAACAAAAACGCAAAATAAATACAGTACCCAAAACAGACAGACTTCAATGTAACACTCAGAACAGAAGTGTGGCACTCAAATTGTCAGCGTAACACTCAAAACAGAAGCATAACACTCAAAATGGAGCATGTTCGGCTTCTGAAAAAGGTTCGCAAACCAGAACACTTCCGGGTTTGCAGTGTTTGGTTCCAAGTTGTTTGAGAACCAAGGCACCACTGTAATAGATCTAAGATTCATTAATTTCAATGTGTCTACTCTGAGTAGGACTAACTGCATACAACCAGGTGAGATTAGATTTCAGACTGTTACGGTTGTGGAAACATCTCATTAAATATAAACAGAGATACCTCATTGAGACAGATGCGGTCTGTGCATACTACTGACGGCATTTATTTCTGAAGCTCAGTTCTGAACCACGTCTCTGCTCAATTTAAACCCCCTAGACTATGTCATGCTTTGATTGGGTAGAATATTACCTGCACCTCTGCTGTATTTCAAGAGCATTTAACTTTATGACTATTTTACAAAAATATGTTCTCTGTTTTCATTTTGTTCTTTTAAATAAAATTCATTTTCAGATGAAGATTTTTTCTTTTTCACTCCCTCTATGCTATAATGCTAATTGCAAACAAAAAGCACTCTTTAATAATATGATACTTAACCATGCCAAAGCCCAAATGCAACTCTGGAACAAATGGAAAAAGAAGATTGTGCCTTTAAATATATACCAATGAGTCAGACTTCACACACAGGATTATGTGGAAAGGCTTCCTTGTCATAGGGTGTGGAATTCAAGCAGGCTGGAGACTCAACACTTCTCATTTTACAAATTTTGGCCAGCGTGTCACCAGGATAGTTTTCCATTTTGGGGCTCAGCGGTATGTACCATTACCTCTTGTAAAGCTGCATGGAATGAGATTGCTCAGTGCTACTCACTTTGCTGCCACCCCTTTATCTCCTCCATTATCTCCTCTATTAATTCCACAATTTAAACCCTACTTTTCTTCATAAACACATGAAAAGCAGCTTACAGCAAGACCAAAACACAGTAACGAGAATAACCTAAATGTTACTAAAATCAATGTCTCATAAGAAGAGGAGGATAAAATAAGTTAAAATGCAAGGGGATAAAAACATTAATTTCCACTGGAAGCTCAGGGGCATTAAAAGGTCTTAGGAACATGCTATAAGCTTAAGAGAGTGTTTATGTGGCTTTCAAGAAAACAAATGTATTTGTATAGTATGCTACATGCAAATAAATAAGTAGAATTCCCCTGAATACCAGTTGTTGAAGCCTATGAATAGGAGAGTGCTATTGTGCTCATGTCCTGTGGTCTCATCCAGCAGCACTTTTCTTACGTACTTAAAAGAAGTTTCACTGGTCAGGAATCATTCCAGTTGCTTAAGTTTGCAAACTAGACATTTCAAAACACGGGCATTTGAATTCAATGAGGGATATGCATTGTGTCCTATATATTAATCTGATGCTCTCAAATGAAATGAAGGACTTTCAAAAAAATAAGGACACCTTTTGGGGAGGGCAATACAATAATCCTTCCACTTATGAAGGGACAGAAACCTGTACTCCTGTGCTTTTAAACTATTTCAAGCATGAACTAGAGTTAGTGGGAAGTGAGGTGGCGGGACCAAATTGTTCAAGTTTGCTAGCGGGACCAAATTGTTCAGGGTGGCAAGAGCATATACAGTGGTACCTCGGGTTAAGTACTTAATTCGTTCCGGAGGCCCGTTCTTAACCTGAAACTATTCTTAACCTGAAGCACCACTTTAGCTAATGGGGCCTCCCACTGCCACTGCGCCGCAGTCGTGCGATTTCTGTTCTCATCCTGAAGCAAAGTTCTTAACCCGAGGTACTATTTCTAGGTTAGCGGAGTCTGTAACCTGAAGCATATGTAACCTGAAGCGTATGTAACCTGAGGTACCACTGTACCTGTGCATACACCTCAGCCAGGCTGGCTCTTACCTGAGCTGTACTGTTAGTATGGACTCAAATCTTTGTCGGAAAAGGAAACGGGGTCCTTTGCTCCTTGAACCTTTTCTAAACTTGGAGGCAGGTAACCCTGCTTGGAAAGGCTGAGGATGCTCTGTCCTTACTCTTTGTCCTCTTCCCCCTTTTTTATAAAAAGGGTGGAAAGAGCATGGGCACTGTAATCTTATTCTAACTGACATGGAGATGCCCCATGAACCTCAATGGAACTTCCTTCCTTCTTGATGTGTGCATATGATAGAAGCCTTGCTCGAAGCATTACTTAACTTCCTGCTAAAGTCTGAATAGCAAGCAGTGGGGAGTTTGAGAAAGCAGCCAGGCAACTCCTGACACCAACTGCTGGGCACCACCCTTCTTGGGTGCTTTTTCCTGGCTTGGGTGTGTTGTTTAACTGCGACAGAGCTTGCTTGCCTGAATGGAGAGAACAATGTATGTGTGGAGAAACCAGTGCTTTTTTTCAGGGGGGGGGAGGGGGTTACACATATCCCTAAACATTTTGTGAATCTTTGTCCTTTTGTCCATTTACTGTATTTATTTTCCCCGATTCGAACTATAAAATGGTGATTTTCACGAGTCAAAATGAGAGTACCCCTAAACATTTTTTTTTTTAGAATAAAAA